AGACTCCCAAGACATTGACTGAGCGACGAGGGGGAGAGAAGGGGGGACACAGACCCCTCCCCCCTCCCCCCCTAATAGCAGCGAGCAGCGAGCAGTGAAATGAACAGAGATGGGAGAGTGTGAGAAATGCCCGGGCCCGGCGCAAGGTCTCACAACATCACACACAACAGAATGCACAGAAACAACACACATCGTCATGCCGAGTCAATACACATCTCAATGGGCAGAGAGAGGCTCTGCTCGGGTGTGTGTGTGTGCGTGTGTGCGGTGGGTGTGTGCCTGGCTGACGGTGGTGGTCGCACAGCTTACATAAGCACAAGAGTCACGTTTATGATGACGCAATGACGCAATGGCACACCCCGCGGCGCCCATCCTATTCAATCGGCTTTGCCGCACGCTTAAACTCAAACAACAAATATGATTGCTCATGTTCGGCGCGTTGGACCTTCTTACGCTTTACCAGGCCGGGACTGAGCTTAACGCAGCGGGCAGGGGCCTGGCTGGCTGGCTGGCTACTGAAAAAGTAATGTTCGTTAAAATGAGAGACAACGAGGGAGAAACGTGGAGGGGGTGGGGTGTGGTTGCAGTCAAATGGGATGTGTCCGTCCACACAATCACCACACACATCAGTTCCTGGCGTCTTCAGTCTTCAGTCTTCTCCGTTGCTGCCACTGATCCACTGATAATCCCCCACTGCGGAGCCTCTGATCCTCTGACCGCTCTCGATCTCTCTCCACAAAGCGTCTCCTGACCTAGGTTCCTGTGGTCCGCCTCGTTTTCCTTATTTTTGGTCCTCCTCTGGCCCCGCATACCCCTCGTAGCCTGATGGGAATTGTGTTTCGATCTGTCTTTCGATCTCTCATCTCTCCCCCCTCTCGTCCCCATGTACAACGTTGCTGTTGGTATCTTTGTTTGCTGCCGCGTGACGTCAGATCCCGCTCCCTCCACAACGCATCACCAAATGAGGTCCCCCCGAAACATTCCTCCAAGCTTCCGTCAGGTGCTATAGAGCTCTCTGAGGTCTGCAGTCACTGGATCACTGGCCCTCTGGCGTACCACAACCATGCCACGTTTACAATCCCATGCCGTATGCCGTAGCCGGCGCGCCGGCCACCCAACGACGAGCCGTTGGTCATACCCCGTCCATATCCGGTCCGTTACGTACAGGCCGTACAGGGGATACAATTGCCCACACGAGATTCGCTTCGGCCACCTTAGTCTGTAGGTTGTTCGATCTGTTTATTGAATACTCCACATGCTGGTGGCGATGTTTCACTCGGCCGTTGAAGGAAGAGCCTCGCTCCCCCGCCCCCCCATCGATTCGCCTGCATACACACACAAGATGGACGCCCGGGCCCAGGTCTGTATGCTGGCGACGAGGACGGTCTGTTTCGCACGCACGCGGCACACTCACTGCACGCCGTGCATTCGACTTGGCCAGATCACGCTTCCAGCCCTCCCGATGGAACTCGCATGCACCCTCAAAACCCTCCCCGTCGAAGCAAACACCCAGAGACGACACATCCATCGTCTGTGATCTATGGGGTGCGTTACACCGCCGGCCCCAAACCGACTAGCAGGCTCCACTCCAAAGGGACACGCCAGACAGACCAGGCTTCAAATGGTCTAGCGTGGTCGTATATTGTGTCCCACAACACCGCGCTCCACCACCGAGACCCTGGTGGACATGGGGTTTCAAGGTTCCCAAACCCACTTACTCCGTCCCGTACCAAAAGGCAAACATACCGCCAACCCCCTCATACTCTAATCTTATTTACCTGCTCATACATGACTCTCCTTTCGGGCAACACCGGGCCATGTGGCCATGTGTACGACCAGCTGCTGCTTAGCTGCTTAGCTAAGGTGTGGCAGTTTCCAACGGCCGACCAATTGTCTGCCACTGAGGTCTCTTTCTGACACTCCTCCGACACTCCTTTACATTCTCTTCGGGCATGCCCAGTTACCAGACACAAGCGACGGGGGTTCTACACTCTCCCCACAGGGCTCTCCGGCTTAGTCGCTCATATCACCCAGGGCAAGCCATTAGCTATTGGCAGGGGGTACCTACCTCCTCACGTTAACGAATGTGCCACCACCCAACTCTTCTCTCACTTGCTTGCCTCAGTCTTCCTGCATCAACCCGACGCATGCATGGTAGTGGTCCAAGGAGACGGCCACAGCGCCTCAGCCTGTGTGCAAAGTGAGTGCGAGAGGAGGGCGGCGCGAGCCAGAAGCCGACTGGCATCTCTCATCAGCTGTTCACTTTTGCCCCTCGGCGGGCGTAGGTGTCGTGTCGGCACTTGACCGCCTTCGCACATGTTCGCACATCACCTCATTCTCACCTCTCACTCATCCCCCACTCCCCTCTCACTCTCTCATTCTTGCCTCTTTCTTCACCCTCACCCCCAACCTCGCTTCCTCGCTTCCTCTTCTTCTTCTTCTTCTTCTTCTCCCACCAGCACCACGCCGACAGCAATCCCAAACGCCATGCCTCCCAAGCGCCCCCGTGAGGACTCCATTACGTCCAGCCGCGCCAGTGGCGACGCGGACGCGGACACGCACACGGGCGTCGACGCCTCCGACTCCGAGTCCGTGTCCGAGTACCAGGACGTCAAGCCCAACCTCGCCAAGGCCAGCAAGACGACGAAAAGCAGCGCCTCCAAGGCGACCAAGGTCAAAGTTGAGAAGAAGGCGTCCAAGCCCAAGCCCAAGGCCATCAAGACGCCCAAGACGTCGACTTCCGCCTCATCGGACGCCGGGGGCAAGAAGATGGGTCCCTGGGCCGCGGACGAGTTGAAGGAGCTGTACACTGTCATGTGTCCCAAGCGTGTACGTGGGCTTGTCCGCGACATCTCTGGTGGCGAAGGGCCGGGGCTGTCGTTTGGGCCAACACGAACGCGGTGCTGTGCTGAGCTGTGCTGAGGTGTGCTGACCACACCGCGCAGACGGGCGTCAAGTGGGACGACGTCGCGGCGGCGATTCCGGGCCGTGATGCCAAGTCGTGCAACAACAAGGTGACTGACTTGCCGGAGATTAGAGAAGTCGACTGGGGCGACTGGGGCTGAGCTGACGGCGAACAGTGGTCTCGCATGCAGAACAAGATCATGGAGGCTGTGATGGGTATGGGCGACTAGGCGGGTGGCGAGACAACCAGAACGTGCCGGTAGAGGATCAAAGGACGGGCTCTGGTAGCTGGTAGCTTTGCTGATATGCCACATGCATGTGCAGACCTTGGCAGTAACTGCCCCCATTATCGACGCTGATTGCCCACCACGTTTGATGGCCGATGTTCCATGTTCCATGTTCGGCAGATCACAGATCACAGATTACAGATCACTGATCGCAGATCTCGCTGATCGTCCGCACCGTTTACAAAGCGTCGTGAAGATTGCCACTGGCAGAGATCACCCACAGGCCACAGGCCACAGGCCACAGGCCCAGAGAGCCAGAGATCACCCAGAGATCCGACGGAAACGGTGAGACTGCGACCTTTCAGCCTGATGCATTCCGCGGCGGGACAACCTGAGCAACGGCAGGCATGCGACTCGCTGGCCGCTGGCTGTGGCTGAGGGAGCCGTTGGGTAGCGCTGGGAAATCAGTGCCCAAAGAAGCAATTCCCCGCCGTTTCCTGTCAGGCCCACCATGCACCGTGAACGCGTTTAGTCACCCATCCCACCACCCATCAATCAAACCCGTCACGATTTCCTACTTTGGACAGCACGTTCGCATCGATATGTCAAACCTCTCTCTCTCTTCTGTCTGCTCGATCCACTCTCTCTGCTCACCTGGAACAATCTAGACGGATCCCCGCATCGCTCACAAACAGCATAAAAGGCGACACTTGAACAGCCATCTCGGTTCTTCACCAAACATTTTCAACCAGTTCATGTTCTCTGGACTGTCCCGAGCGACTGTCAACATCCTCATCGCTTCAAACCACCTACACTTTACAGAAAACTTTGCGATCCGCTCGCTCTCTACCGCCATGACCAACGTCACTCGCACCCCTACCAAGGTCGTCTACGCCTATGAAACCCCCGAGGGCATGGGCGCGACCGTCCGCCGCTCAATCGGCACCCAGGCTCTGCGCAACCTGTCCCCCTTCCTGATGCTGGACCACGCCACCATCAACGTCGAGGACGGCGCAGGCTTCCCAGACCACCCCCACCGCGGACAGACCACTGTCAGCTACGTCCTCTCTGGTGCGCTGCACCACGAAGACTTCCTCGGCAACACGGGCACCCTCGCCGCCGGCGACCTGCAGTGGATGACGGCCGGCCGCGGCATCATGCACTCTGAGATGCCCCTGTTCGAGGGCCCCAACCCCGTCCCCGCCGAGGCGCTCCAGCTCTGGATCGACCTGCCCGCCGACCAGAAGATGATCGAGCCCTCGTACCAGGAGAAGAAGGCAGCCGAGATTGACACTGTCAACCCGCAGCCGGGCGTCCAAGTCACCGTCATCTCGGGCGAGGCGTTTGGCGTAAAGGGCTTTGTCCGTCCCGTCGGCGGATGCTGGTTCCTCGACTTCAAGCTCACCGACGCCGGCGCGTCCGTCTTCCAGCCGCTGCCAGAGGGCTGGACGGGCTTTGCGTACGTCATCACCGGCGCCCTCCAGGTCGGCGAGGAGGCCACCCCCGTGGACAAGTTCAACTCGGTCGTCCTGTCCGCTGAAGAAGGCCAGAACGGCGTCCTCCTCACCCGGCCCGAGGGCACCACCGAGGACACGCGCTTCGTCCTCATTGCCGGCGAGCCCCTCGACCAGCCCGTCGTCCAGGCCGGACCTTTTGTCCTCACGTCCCGCCAAAAGGCCATGGAAGCGTACATGGACTTCCAGCTGGGCAAGAACGGCTTTGAAGGCGCGCCCGGATGGGAGAGCAAGATTGGCGCGCCGCTGCGTCGTGCCAACTCGCGTTAAGCGGACCCTGCCTCCGCCTTGGCCTCTTTTCTCCAGACTCCCTCACGCAAGACTTGACGACACAAACTCCCAAACATCACTAGCAATATGTACTGCAGAATCAAGTGTCATTTGATATAGCCGTCCCCTCATCATGTTACAAAGTATCCCATTTCCGTTGCCGTTGCCGTTGCCTTTGTTGTTGTTGCAATCTTTCCACCGTCAGAGCAATGTGTACAGTACAGATCCCCTTGGCCCTTGTATCCCATGCAAGGTGCATTCCTTCGTGACCTGTTTCCAAGACGAACGCAGCACTGGTCCAGTGGCCAGTCGCATGAAGCCGGGGCGCCACAGCGTGGCTTGGGGGGCTCCCGCATCCCTCTCTTCTGAATTTCCGCAACCACCGGCCGTGCGCGCGCGTTTAGAGCCCTTGTAACGTCCGTCCATCCCATCACACCTTTTCTGCATCACCCGTTCCTTCCATCCGGCGTTCACGGGCGGGCGAACACGACCATGTTCACCACCCTTGTGGCCCTCATCAAGTTTGCATGGGCGTACCCGGGCATCGCCATCGCCATCGTCCTGGCAGCCTATGGCGCATACTATGCCGGCGTGAGGAGATGGCGACGCAGCCAGGCCATCAAACAGTACCGCCGGTACGTAACCCCCTCGCCCGGCAGTTTGCCACCCACCGTCGCTTCGCTCGCGCTGACTGCCCAGTGATCAACGTCGTCGTGCAGGTATCCCAGACAGCGATACCCGCCCATGGCTCGTTGCGCGCCCCGCTGCCGAGCTGCGGCGGCGCGAGGAGGCGGCGCGTCTCGTCGCCGAGCAGCAGGCCGAGAGCGAGCGCAAGCGGCTCGAGAAGAAGCGCGAGGAGGTCGAGGAGTGGGGCCACCAGGCGCTCAAGACGCTTCGTGCGCTGCATAGCTCTGGAGACCTCACGCCGCGCAGTGGAGCGTCGACCCCGCGGCTGCGTGGTCGCGCAGAGTCCAAGTGAGTTGGCAACCAAATGTTTTTGCTGACCCCGCACAGTGCGTCGCTCGCGTCCACCGTCCCCGCCGGCCCGTCCCGGCCCTCTACGCTCGCCAGCCGTGCCCCGGCCCGCCAGCTCTCGCGTGTCGCGTCGCGTACCCTCCCTTCTAGTGCTGCCTCGAGCTCCCGCCAAGTGTCTGTTCGTCAACGTGTGGCCAAGCGCGGTCGCGGCGACGACGACTCGGACCTGGATGAGGAGGAGCCGTCCCCACAACGTGTGCGCCGCCGTCCCACCGCCCGCGCAAGGGGCGTAGTCGACGCCGACATGGAGAGTGCCGTCGGCGACGACGAGGACGACCTTGCCGAGCTGCACTCGGTCGACGAGGACAACGAAAACATGAGCGAGGACGACTACGACGAAGGTATGGCCGTGGACGACCGTCCGCTCCTGTCGCACAACCGCCCAAAACGCGCGCTTCCAGAAGACGACGAGCAGCAGCGCAAGCGTGCGCGCAAGTCGCCCGAGCCCGAGTCGGACGTCGAGGCGGAATCGATGGACGAGGACGACGAGGGAGTGTCCGGCCCCGCCCATGCCGACCCACCACCACCCAGCGCCGAACCCTCCCTGCGCTACGACCTGGACGCACCTGGCGGTTTCCCAGTGTACGGCCGTGCCGACTCGCCCTTTGACGGCGCCCTTTCCAAGTGGACGGACGCGACCGGCGTCGAGTGGTTCAAGGCCGACGGCGTCAAGTATCGCCAGGACGAGATCCGCGTCGCTACCCTCAAGTACCGCATGCCGAGGGACAGCGAGCACCCGGACGCTCGCCAGGAGGCCGGCGAGCTTGTACGTGTCTGGCTCGACGAGAGCGAGTACAAGCGCCTCAAGAGCGAGGGCAGGCTCAAGTGGCAGGAGACGCCGCCCGTCTCGCCCAACGAAAAGGACAGGCAGGAGCCCACCCCTCCTGCCGTCCCCTCGCGCCCCAGCTCGGTCGTGTCCGCCGTCGCTGCGCGCTCCATCTCGCGCTCGTACGGTCCCTCGCGCATTGGCCTTGGAAATTCGGTCGCCTCCCCGCCGTCGTCGCTTGCGGTCAGTACAGCCAACGCGCCCTCACGCTCGGAATCGCCATACTACACCAACCAGGCGGCCTTTGACCGCCAGCTCGCTACTGCCGCGCCAAACCGCTCGCGCATCAGCTCCCCCGCACGCTTTGCGGCTCCAGGTCGCCAACTGAGCGAAGCTGGCCGTGCCAAGAGGCAGGAAGAGCTGCTCGCCAGGCTGGGCAAGGATGTCAAGTCCGAGTCGAGCGAGGGTTCTCCTGCCGCGCCTTCCCCCGCACCCTTGACCGCGTCGCCGCTGTCCGCGCTCGCCGCGTCGTCCTCCAAGGACGCCGCCGCGTCGACTACCCCGACCACCAAGCCTGCCTCGCCATTCAGCTTTGGCAAGTCTTCCGAGTCGGCACCAACCACGTCGTCGCCGCTTGCCAAGTCTGGTTCCTCGCTTCTGGCACGTCTCGGCAAGCCAGAGGACACGGACAAGCCAGAGGTCAAAGCAGACAAGGGTACGCCGGCACCCTTCTCGTTCGGTGCTCCTTCGACCGCGGCGGCAAAACCCGCCGCCGAGGCCGAGGTCAAGGCCGACAAGCCTGCTCCTTTCTCGTTTGGCGCTCCTGCTTCTGCTCCCACTCCCGCCGCTCCGGCTACGACCGCCACAAAGCCCGCCGAGACAAAGACGGACAAGGCGGCACCGTTCTCGTTCGGCTCTTCGCCGGCCGCCACGCCTGCTGCCGCTACCCCACCGGCCGCGTCCCCCGCGCCCGCCGCTGCTCCGTTCTCGTTTGGCGCAGTGACTGCGAACAAGGACGAGCCCAAGGCCGTCGACTCCCCCAAGCCCGCCCCATTCTCGTTTGGCGCTCCTGCCGCTCCCAAGCCTGTTGACGCTCCCAAGCCTGCTGGATTCTCGTTCGGTGCTCCTGCCACAGCCAAGCCCGCTGAGGCCCCCAAGGCTGACGCGCCCAAGCCCGCGTTTGGCGGTTTCGGCGCTGCCCCAGCTCCTTCACCAACTGCTGAGGCCCCCAAGCCCACCACGTTTGGCGGCTTTGGCAGCAGCGCTCCATCTGCACCTGTACCTGCAGGTGCCCCCGCAGCGGCTCCGTTCTCGTTTGGCGCTCCCGTGGAGAAGAAGGACGAGCCCAAGGCCGAAGCTCCCAAGCCTGCGTTTGGCGGCTTTGGCGGTACCCCAACCCCTCCAGCCGCTCCCGATGCGTCAACCTCGTCGTTCTCCTTTGGCGGCGCCACTGAGAAGAAGGACGAGGCTCCCAAGCCTGCGTTTGGCGGCTTTGGCGGTACCCCAACCCCTCCAGCCGCTCCCAGTGCGTCAACCTCTTCGTTCTCATTTGGTGCGGCCGAGAAGAAGGACGAGGGAGCTCCCAAGCCTGCGTTTGGCGGCTTTGGTGCCCCGTCCGCGGCTTCAGCCGCACCCGCCGCATCGCCATTCTCGTTTGGCGGTGCCACTGATAAAAAGGACGAGCCCAAAGCGGAGGCTCCCAAGCCCTCGTTTGGCGGCTTTGGCTCCACCACCACTACTACCACCACCTCGACCTTTGGCGCGGCCCCGTCGGCATCGGGCTTTGGCGCGGCGTCGTCAACCCCTGCATTCGGGTTCGGCGCCGGCCCCGCTCCGTCGTCTACCACGCCGACTGACAGCCCCAAGCCGACCATGTTCTCGGCCCCAGCTGCTGCCACTTCTGTGTTTGGAGCACCTGCGTCTTCTGGATTTGGAGCACCTGCTGCTCCAGCGTTCGGAGCTGCCACCGCGCCTGCTCCTGCTCCTGCTCCCGCCAAGCCTGCGTCCTTCTCGTTCGGAGCAGCTCCTGCAGCTGACAAGCCTGCCTCGGCTGGCGCGTTCTCGTTCGGCTCCTCCACCCCAGCAGCGCCAACCACAACACCAGCACCAGCTTCGTCCAGCTCGTTCTCGTTTGGCGCCCCGGCCGGTGCCCAGCCAGCCTCGACTGGTTCGTTCTCCTTCGGCGCTGCCGCCGCTGCGCCAGCCACTTCGGCGCCGCCCGCATCCACTTCGACTTTTTCGTTCGGCGCAGCCCCAGCAGCTGACAAGCCCGCGGCCATGGGCACGAGCACGCCCTCGTTCTCCTTTGGCGGTGCGCCCGCCGCGTCGGCCCCCGCGTCCACCTCGACATTCTCGTTTGGCGCGCCCGCCCCCGCGGCCGGCGCTGCGGGCCAGCCAGCGTCGACTCCCGCATTCTCGTTCGGCGGGGCGGGCCCGAGTGCCGGCGGCTTTTCGTTTGGCGCCAGCGACGACAGCACACGGCAGGTGCGCAGCCTGCGGCGCAAGTGAGCACGTGAGGGCTGCCTCCCATAACCCCCATAACCCCATAACCACCAAATAGTGCATGAACATCGGTCATTCTCTTGTCCCCCGGCCGTGTGCCCCTCGAGCGGCGAGGGGCACGCGGCCGTAAAACGTCCCCACTGACTGGAACTGACCATGCCGGCCTCCACACTCCACACTCTACGCTCCACACTCTACACTCCACACTCCACGCTACACGCTATCCGGGCGGCCGTCTCCTTGACCGGGGCGGCCGCCCGCGACACATTTGGGGTCCACGCAACGTGGCTCAAAAATGGTCGAAACACCAGCGCAGAAGAAGATCGCCTTTGATCTCGCCATGGATATGGTGGTTGCATTACAAAAAGGACTTGCCCGCCCGAGTGTTGGCGTGTTTCGCAGGTAGTATTCCGTGCAGACATTTGTTGCCTTGAAATGTTAGGACGTGTGCGTGTGTGCGTGTGTGTCGCTCGGATGAACAGGTGGCGCTTGCTTGTGGCACTGGTGGGTGGGTGGGTGGGTTGCCCGACTGACCCATTCTCATTCCTGACTCTGCCCACTCTCTCGTGTGTACCTTGCTCAAACAGTGGAGGTTTTATATTCTGACATTTCACAGTGTTTACGAATGTTTACGGAACAGGCCCATGCTTCGGCTTTGGGGCCAGCTGCCGTTTAGTTGTTTAAAAAAGTCGAGATTTCTTACGAGACACGCAGCTTCATTGCTGTTGCTGTTCCTTGCCCCCACCTGCAGAGCCTCAAACACCCCCACCTTCCCCCGGTCCTGGTACGCTAGCTCCCTGGAACTGTCCATGCCTGGGGCCTACCATACCAGAACCAAGATCGCTGGCGACCTTGGCTCAAGGCAAAAGGTAAAGGTACCGGGCTTAGGCGAGCGACGCGGCGTGCGAGTGGTGCCCGCCAGAGCCGTGGGCGGCCTTGAGCTTTGCGGCCTTCTTGGACGGGGTAACAAAGCTCTCGACGGCGGGGCCGAGCGGGATGGACGCGACCTTGCCGGCGGCGGCGTCGTCTTCAAACACGGGCTCGAAGCGGTTGGCAAGGGCCGACCAGGTGACGGCGTAGCCGTCGCTCGCGGCGTCGAGGGCGGCGTTGAACAGGCCCAGCATGAAGGGGAGGGTGATGTTGCCCGAGTTGGCCGGGTTGAGGCCCGCGAGCGGGGGCGGGGCGACGGCCTTGGCCGACTTGGGCACGCGGCGGGCGGGCGCGGGCGTGGGCGCGGGCGAGTGGGCGTGGTGGTGGCCGTTGATGGTGGGCGGGAAGCCGTTGCGGCGGCGGGGGAAGGCGTCGCCGCCGTCGGGCGCACCGGACGAGCCAAAGTCGACCGTGGCCGTGGGGTCCTCGTACGCGAGGGCCATGAGGGCGGCCTTGGCGAGAGCCGTGTTGGAGCGCTGGCTGGCGGCGACGAACATGCCCCACGGGTCGCGGGACGCGCACTCGATGCACAGGGCGAGGGCGCGCTCAATGACCGAGTCGCATCCGAGCTCGTCGCACAGGGCGAACAGGCGCTCGTGCTGGTGCCACACGTACGAGGCAGGGAGGGGCACGAGGTGCATCAAGTCGAGGGCGAGCTTGAGCGTCTTGCGTTCGGCCGCGACTTCGACGGGCGTCGAAGGCGACGCCGAGAGCGCTTCGCGGAGCTTGGTGCTGGGTGAGCGTCAGTGTCTGTCGAAGAGATACACGCCAGCTGGTGACAACCGGGCGAGTATGAGAGATGTACTGCCGACCTAAGGCTGGCAGTGAGGAGTACACAACCAGCTGCACGCTGGAAGTGGAGTATGGTACCAGCCGCACAACAGCTGGTATTTTAACATCCCCTAGCTGAATAGCCGGGGCATATCATGTAGCCACCGCGCATGTGGCGGCTATTAACCGTAAGGCCACCACATATTTGGTGACCATATAACTCTGAGACGGTCGAACGACCATCTCTGTATAGCTACGACATCGCGTCGAAGCAGGGGTGGGCCGATGAAATCAAGCTGGCCCTGGCCATCCCACACTCCAACAGCCACGGGCGTGTTGCAACGGTGCCGGACCGTTGATACACGTTGTGCAAAAGTGTATTGGATTCCCATGCGGCCCCAAAGATCACGACACGTCTCCCCGCTGGGGAGTCACCACACGGTCGCACGCGGAAACGACACGAGACTTTGGTGTTGAGCGTGGGCAGAATGGGGGAGGGCGCGCGCGGACGGTCCCACGGCCCACGGGGGGGCGCGAGAAACCACACCACACACACACACACCAACTCGATACCCACGCTCGTGGTCTGCCACAAACGTCCACCCCCCTGTGTGGGTGTCCATCCGCCGCAGACCAGAGGGACGACAGACACTGCCACTCATAACGAGAGCTTTTCCCCTTGTGTCCAAAGAAACAGAAAAACCGGATCTGGATACGGGGTCAACTCACGAGTTGGCCTTGAGCATGTAGCTCTGTACGCGGAAGTCGCGGCCACAAGCCGAACGCAGGACGGCGTCGGCCGCGGGGTCGGTGTATGCCGTGGGCTCAATCTTGCCGCCGCCGTTGGCGTCTGACGCACCCGTGGCGTTGGGGAGGGGCTGGGACATGGTTGAGGTGGAGTGGAAGGGGTGGTAGGGGGGTGAGGGCGAGGGCGTAGAAGGCGATGAAGGGTTAGAGGGTGGGGGTGGGGGTGGGTGGTTTGGTGTGGTGTGGGGTGGTGAAGGCGGTGGGGTTGGAGAGTTGCGAGAGGGAGGCGAGGTGGCGAGAGACTTTGGTGGGCTTGAAGAAACAGGACGAAGAGAGCAGGGGGATAGACTTTGCAGCGGAGTTGATATGGGCCCACGGCGTCACAGCTTTACGTGGTGGTGGGAACGGCCACGAGAGTCTTGCACACGGCAGAAAACTGCGCCCCCCATGGGTACCACCACGACGCGTGTCATGCATTGTCCAATGGGCCATGACGGGGTGCTCCTCGCGCGTGCATGATGCCGTCATGGGATACGGGGGGGCGCTGTTGAGTGAGAAAAAGTGTGAGTGAGGGTCTTGAGTGTGAATGTGAGTGTGAGTGTGGTTGTGAGAATGTGAGTTGTGAGGAGATGAGTGGAGAGAAGGAGGGGAAGAGTGAAGAGGAAGAACAAGGCGGCGACGGAGGGGTCGTGGGAGGTGTCACATGGCCACGAGCACGGGCAGCACGGGGCGAGTTCTGGGCTGGACCTGTGTTTGAGCACCAGAACAAGGGCGCATGTATCGCTCTTGGGGGGTCGGTGCGGGTTGCATGCCTGTCAGGCGTGATGTCAGATCTTCAGATACGATGGGGGAGAACAGCTTCAGCGTCACGCGTCCCGTCGCTGTGTGGCGTGTGTCGCGGCTGCTGCTGATGGGAAGTGAGATGGTTCAACCCCATTCCCTCGTGGCGCGGCAAATCCGTTTCTCCTTGCTCCTCTCATCGCGCATTTCGCTGTGTGTGCGTGATTTCCGTTGTCCCACTGTACTCTGTGTATCGGTCTAAAGATGCATCTGGGCCCTCGTTCTATCGAATTAAAAGCTAAAAGCTCTCTACAGCCACTCGACGCTGGGTGTCTTGTCAGCACAATGGTCCTCCCTCGAATGGGAAAGCTGCAGGCAGGGGGTACTCACGTTCCAGGGGGCTTGGAGGTGATGTCGTAAACGACACGGTTGATGCCGCGGACCTGTGTGGTGTGAGCAGACTGGAAGGGGAGAAGAAAAAGAGTAGAGCGTGGTATTCGACCGGGGCGCTGGTGCCGGCCGGCCGAACGGGGACACACAAATGGGACGCGTTCCCACTTGCCCCGTTCCGGCGCCGGCACGCAGCGATCCGGTCCACACAAGCAAACGCCGACGGCGTGTACTTTTGCTGTGACTCACCTCGTTGGTGATCCTGGACGAGATCTTCTTGAGGACCGAGGCGGGGAACTCGAACCAGTCGGCAGTCATAAAGTCCTCGGTGGAGACGGCACGGAGGGCAATGACCTGGTCGTAGGTACGTGCGTCGCCCATGACACCGACGGCACGGACGGGGAGGAGGGCGGCGAAGGCCTGCGAGATCTGGTCGTAGAGACCGGCGGCGCGGATCTCGGCAATGTAAATCTCGTCGGCGTGCTGGAGGATGGCGACCTGCTCGCGGGTGACCTCGCCGAGGATACGGATGGCGAGACCGGGGCCGGGGAAGGGGTGGCGGCCGACAAGGTGGGCGGGGATGTCGAGGAGACGGCCGAGGGCGCGGACCTCGTCCTTGAAGAGCTCGCGGAGGGGCTCGATGAGCTTGAGCTTCATGTCCTCGAGGAGACCGCCGACGTTGTGGTGCGACTTGATGACGGCCGAGGGACCCTTGAACGAGATGGACTCGATGACATCGGGGTAGAGGGTGCCCTGGAGGAGCCACTCGATGGGGCCCTTGGACGAGTCGGCGGCGCACTCCTTCTCAATCTCGGCGGCCTTCTCCTCAAACACCTCGATGAAGGTGTTGCCGATGATCTTGCGCTTCTGCTCGGGGTCCTCGACGCCGGCAAGACGGCCGAGGAAGAGGTCCGAAGCGTCGACGACGGTAAGGTTGACGCCGAGGTCCTCGGTCAACATCTTCTTGACCTTCTTGGCCTCGTCAAGACGGAGGACACCGTTGTCGACCATGATGGCGTGGAAGCGGTCGCCGATAGCCTCGTGCATGAGCTTGGCGGCGACGGTCGAGTCTACACCACCGGAAACGGCACCGATAACCTGGCCCTTGTCGCCACAGATCTCACGGATACGCGCAATCTCCTTGGGGATGAACGTGTCCATGCTCCAGCCGTCACGGACACCGCAAATGTTCTTGACAAACGAGCCAATGACCTCCTTGCCGCGGGGCGAGTGGGTGACCTCGGGGTGGAACTGGACACCGTAGATGGGGCGCGACTCGTGGGCAATGGCAGTGAAGGGCGAAGTAGGGGTGTGGGCCACAGTCATAAAGTTGGGAGGGAGCGAGGTGAGCTGGTCGCCGTGCGACATCCAGACCTGGAGGCCCTCGGGGCCGTGCTGGATGCCCTCGAAGAGAGCGTCGGCGTGGGCGACACCAGTCTTGACAATCTGGATCTGGGCGTGGCCGTACTCGCGGTGCGAGTGGGGCTCGACGTTGCCGCCAAAGGTCTTGGCAATCTCCTGGAGACCGTAGCAGATACCAAGGACGGGGACACCGGCCTCGAACACGGCGGGGTCGACGTGAGGGGCGTCGGGAGCGTACACCGAGTAAGGCGAGCCAGAGAGGATGATACCTGCAACCGCGTGTCAGCGCGTGCTAGTCGGTGTAGTCACCCCCCCCTTGTTGGGTGACTGCACATGCAGATAAAGGTGTGTCCGACTGTATCGGACGGGGGTGTGACTGCGCCATGGCAGAAAAAAGACCAACTTACCGGTAGGCTTCCAGGACAGGTCGGCCATCTTCTGGGTGCACGGCAGCATCTCGCAGTACACGCCGAGCTCACGGCATCGGCGGGTGATGAGGTGCGAGTACTGCGATCCAAAGTCGAGGATGAGGATCGAGTCGTACAGGTCGTGGATCTCAGCGGACGCCATGGTGGAGACTGGTGGTTGGTGGGGGTTGGGTTGGAGTGGTATGTACAACTCAGAAGAAAGCGCGATATGAATCTACTCGGAAATCTTGACTCCCCTCTCTGTCCCAGGCACGCCCCCCCCTGTGTGCGCACGCCCGTGGCAAAATGAAAATACCCACCACGAAATGACATGTCATTAAAGTCACACCTGGGTTTATGATCCGGCAGCGTCGGAGGAGTCGTTATCAAAAGGGCGGGCGGGCCTAGATCCGTCGGTCGCGGAGACAAGAGCCGCCGCGTGAAGGAGACACGGGATCAAAATTGCTTAATAAGTGTTTGGGTGTGCCATAATGTAACACGCGCTGGGCCCATTGTACCCATTGTAGTTGGTCCCTGGAATCAGAGCCTTGTTGTCGTCGTTTCCCATAGGAATCGTGCACCTGTTGAAGCTTTCATTTGCCGTACACACTCTGGGAACCTGGCGAGGGGGGAGAGAGGGAGAGCGGTAAGAGCGGAGACACTGCTGGACGCTGCTGCTGCTGCTGCTGCGCTGATGCACCACCCCACCCACCCACACGGCTAAGAGTACCATTATTAGCGTTTCGTGGAGACTATACACTCTCTCGGGCTGTTGCCGTCTCTCGTCTCTCTCCCCTGGCTGGCTGCTCTGTCCCACGCCTCCGTCCGCCGCGCGCCACAACCCGAAGGCTGCAGTCACCAGAGTGCTGCTGCTGCTGCTGCTTCCATTTCTACCTTTGTCTTGGCTCTTCCCACCGCGGCCCGCCGTGCTCCTTCCTGCCTGCCTGCCAGCCCCCCCTTTTGCCTGTTCGAGGACCCTTAACGCTCTCGATACGGGTTGTGTGTCGTCGTCCATGGCCACCCACCGGCCACCTGATGCACCTGATCTGGGTTTGTGGTCCTGTCCTGAACGTCCTGAACGTCCTGACACCTCCTGGTCTCCTCGTGCCCAGGCGCATGCGCGAGGGGACCTCGAGAAACACACTTGGTGGGCCCTGAGGGGTCGATGCTGCTGCATACTGCGTTCTCGAGAACGGCTCAGCGTAGTCACGAGCACGCCCCTGCAGCCATCGGTCACCATATCACTGTGGTGGTGGTGGATGGCAATATGCACTGGCAAGCCATGGCAAGTTGGATGCAACCGCTCTCGCCTCTGCCAAGACAACGGCCAACGGACGGCCACGACAGGCAACGGCGATCATTACGCACACTGTGGAGACCCGCATTCGAATCGCCACCCACCCAGCGTCTACGCTGCTCCGGTGACAGTGTTAGTGCACACGCATCCCCCACCGCTCGCGCCGCACGGCCGCTGCGGAAAGCTGGCTACGCCGCAGGCCAGAGCCGGCCAGCTCGGGCTACAGTCTACTCGCTATCGCGCGTCCTGCATCCCACACCCCACATGCTGCACTGGTGCATGCACTGGCATTCGGCCCATGCGTAGCACTACTGCAGCGTACTGTACTGCAGCGCCAATGGCCAGCAGCGACTGGCTGCTCCTGCCCACCTTTGTGCACGGGCGCACCGGGAGGGATATCTGTGTAGGGCCAAAGATCCGGTCGCGCGGATATATTCTTTCTCTTTCTCTATCTCTATCTCTGATCTCATTCTCCCCTCTTCTCACTGGCCAACAGTGCCGGCCGCGAGCCAGTCCTTGAGGAAAGAGGCCGCGTTCTTGGGCTGGTCCATGGGCACCATGTGGCCGGCGCCGTAGACCTTGAGGAGCTGTGGGATGGTGTGTCAGCGAGGGTCGTACGAGCGCGTGTGCTTTGTTTGATTGGAGAGCCAAAAGCGTCCGCAATATAGCTTACAGTGAGGTGGCCGTGGGTCTTGAACTGGCCGGCCAGCTCGCCGTCGACGGTCCAGTCCTCGAGCTGCGCGGCGTTGTACTGCTTCTGGCCGGTCCACTGCATGTCCTCCATCCAGACCTCGTTGCCGATGTGGTTGCAGACTGGTCGTTAGCTCGTCGTCCCCAGCAGGCGGTGAGTAGCTCACTAAAGTCCAGAGTACCGGCGTACTGCGTTCATGTCAGTTGAAACCCTAGACGGTTGCGTAACTCACGTTGAGGACGCGCACACCTCGCTCGAGGAGCGCGGCGACGTACAGCCACGTCTTGCCGGCGGAATCCAGCGAGTTCTGGAACGCGGCAAAGACACCATTGTCGCAGCTGTTCCAGGGGCCCTCGTGCTTGTCAATACCCAGGCGGCGGCGGGTGTCGGGCAGGTCGAGGTACGTCTTGATCTTCTTGGTCTCGGGGTAGCACAGCGAATCGGCCAGTTCCTCGAGCGTGCACTTCTTGCTAACGTCGTAAGGGTTCACGCCGGCCTGGAGGAACGACGAGCCGAGCGTCTCTTCGCAGTAGGACAGCGCGATAAAGCACTCGGTGGGGTCGCGCGAGTCGAGGCAGCCGCGCAGCGCCAGGCGGTGGCACTTGGGCACGGCCTCGGCCATGGCCACACAGTTCTCGATCGACTGGACCGTTTGGTTGAGGTCGGCGTGCACGGTGCATTGCTGTAGAGTTGGTTAGGTCCATGTCCAAGTACAGGCAACCCACGTAAGGGAAGTATGACTCGGTCGTGGCAAACAGGTCCGAGACGCCGTTCTGCAAGGTGTCAGTTGAAGGTCTGGGGTCTATGGCTCCCGCAACTCACTCCAATCATGACACTCTGCAGGTTGATGGGCTCCTTGCCAGCAGCGACGAGGTTCCTGTTGTTATCATAGACCGCCGACGCAAAGATCGGCAGGTAACGGCCCTGTGTGTGAGTTGAGTCGGACAATTAGTCAACAACTCACGCCGTAAGACTCGCCAGCCATGTGGAACTCGCGGCCCTGGAACTCTTTGAACGTGTCAAAGAACTGTCACGGGGTTGTCAGCACACCTTCCTCTCAAAACAAACAGTCACGCACGATCGAGACAAACGCCGCAATGTCCTGCCCAGCCTCCTCGGCCGTGCCGACCACCTGCCCATGGCGAGCCTTGGAGAAGCCGACGTTGACCGGTTCGTCCAGGAAGAAGATGTTGGCATTGTTGTTCCAGCTGTACGGGTTGACCTTTGTGTCGTTGCTGGTCTTGGGGTCGTCGGCGACGGAGCACGGGCCGAGCTCCATGAGCAAGCCCAGGGCCGACGAACAGCCGGGGCCGCCGTTGATCCACATGATAACGGGGTCCGTGGCCGGGTCGCCGCGCGACTCGAAGAAGGAGAACCACAGGTCCTTGCCGCCGCCAACGTCGAGGTATCTGGAAAGCGTAAGCGCGCGCACGTTGAGACACTGCGAGGAAGGTGGCAGGTACGTACCCAGAGTACGAGCGCACGTCGGGATCACACCATCCGTCGGTGCTCTTGATACGGACCTTGTGGTTCTGCGCGCTGCGTCAGCTTCCATCGGCAGTGGCCAATCTGGCTGTTAACATACAGGATGGTGAGCCGACTGGAGCACAAAAAAATCGTCGACGGGGACACTGGCGAGGGTAATGTCGCTTGCTGGGGTCATGTCCTCGAGCAACGACTGGGCCGACTCAAACGCATCCTGGACGGTCGGGATGTGGAACGCCGAGACGGTGGCCGCGAGCGGTGCGGCGGCGAGCGCAAAAGTGGTCAGGCGCATGGTGGATGGGAATGCGCGGGAGCGGTGTACTCTACCTCAAAAGTGTCGAGTAGAGGATGTTGAGTAGATGATATGGGGGAGGGCAAGGGCAAGAGCAGCAACGATAGGACATGAGCACCATATGGCTCCACTGGCACGCGGACGTCACCGAAAGTGGCCATGCGGGTCGCCATGCCGGTGCCTGAGCGTGCGCACCCTTTTGCGACCTCCACCATGACAGTCCAGAATGGAAGTCAGAAAGGCAGGCGCGCTCCTCTGATCTCTTGGTGCCAGCGCGCCAGCGGTGATGCTTTCGCATGGTTGAAAGGTATCGACAAAGGACACAGGGTGGTGATTCGAGACAGGCAGGTATCTGAGGGATAGTAATGCACGTACTGTTGTAATGGCCCGTCCACAGAACGGCTTTCAACTGCCGCCTAGTCTCTGTGGCCGCGATCGTCGGGTCCTCTAGCCTCTAGTAGCCTTTACGCAATCCATGGTGGCTAGCAACCACACTTGTCAAGCAATCCCCAATTGAGTATACTCGCAGCACTTATATGGCTGCATGCGCAGTGTCTCCCTTTAGCCTGGTGGACACATGGGTACGGGCGAGAAGGGGGGATGGGCTGAATTGGTTGACATAAAAACCTACGGGAGGGGCTGGACGAGCAGCCCAGTCCCTTGCGGCCTTGGACAGAGAAGAGACGGTGCGTAACCTTGTGTCCTTGTATGTGCAATGTGGTTGTTGCTTGATTGTTTATCGTGAGATGGACGTTGTTGTTGTGCATGTCTTTGATGTGAACAAATGTGCAGAACGACGGCCGACGGCAACGACCAAGAGTGCAAGAGAGAGCGTCACCGTGTCTGTTGATCTGTTGGTGGGAATCGCCCCAGGCACATTCACCATGTTGATCATGCCTGATCCAGACCATAAATCTTCTTTTTCTAATGCACCCAACGCACGACATTCCGAGACACCCGGCGCCGTGTCTGCATATGCACACTGTTTCCCAGCCTTTGCTCTCGCAGTCGGCCGTCGCTGTGCATACCTGGGTCGCGTGCTGCAACCTGCAAACGACCGTGCGCCCCACGCAGCAGCAGAGCGGGGTTGTCCCAGGGCCGAGCAGCAACCGCTTGGCAGCAGAAAATGCACGCGTACGCCTCTGGCGCCACCCACCCACCCAGCGGCCAGGGACGACGGCCGGCACACCCACCAAACGGCAAAAGACCTGCCCCGGCGTCAACAAACCAGCACCACCATCGACCATTGTTGTCGCCTCGCTCACTCACTCATCCACATCCCCCTTCTCACTGTCTTATACACTATTCGCTCGTGCCCGGCCCTATACACCGTCTACACGACCAACCTCACCCTTGGCGGGCAATCTGCCTGAGACGCGACTGTCTTTTATCTTTCCAGAGGACAAACATTCAGCGCCCGGGCCTCGCTTCTCCACCTCTCACGTCCACCCCGATCACCCCAGGTCCAGCACTACGCTTTCGGCCCGTCCGTACAGAATAGGAACAGAATATAGGATCCACCATACCCTCCTCACGTGTGTGTCATGCACTACACAATCGAGGACGAGTGGCGGCAGTCTGCATCCCAGCTCGACGACGACTTTTCGCGCGACTGTCTGCTGGGCGCCGAGTGTTTGGCAAACGTTGACGCCGACGACTGCAACGGTAAGGCATCCCATCACGCATCTCTTCACCGGTATGACCTGACGTCTGACGTCTCCCCTCCTCAGATGACGAGCTCCCAGCACCCCGCCCTTCCCGCCCCTCCCGCCCATCCACCATCTTCTCCGTCGCCTTGACAAAACCCAAGACCAAACCCCCTCCAGCCCCACACTTCCGGCGTCAATCGATGGCTCCCTCGACCGTGACCCGCACTGTCACTCCGGCGCAGGCGGATGACATTGAGCCCAAAACTGAGTTTACATTCTGGCCACCTACGAGGGCACGCAGTGCGCCCGCGCCAGCGAGCAGTGAGCCCCCGTCGAGGTCAGAGTCGCCTGCTTCGACCTCGACGGCGGAGCCTGCTTCGGCGTCGACTTCAACGTCGACTTGCTCGACCGCTGCGTCTACATCTGAACATGCCTCTGAGCCTGCGCCCAAGGCAGTACCCGTGGCCGCGTTCTACGACTCGTCGCCTCTCGACTTCCCTAGCGCACACACGCACGAGATTGCCTCGTCTCCCGAGACCTCCATCACAGCAGCGCTCAAGGGTCTCCCTCGCCCCGGTCCGCCCATTCGCAAGAGCACGCTCGTCGTCCAGCCTCCAGAGGCATTACGCGCGAGCTGGTGGTCGTCCTCCAGCGGCCACTCTGCGAGCAGCCTGGTCTCTGGTGCCTCGGGGTCAACAGGAACGAGCGGAACGAGCGGGACGTACACCACCACAAGGGAATGGATTGGCGACCAGCACCACACCGACGACGCTGAGAGTGTCTTGACGGCCGGAACACGGCCTTCCAGTGTCGCCGCGATGTCGAGGGCCGGGTCCCGCTCAGTGTCCGCGTCGACCATGGCCACAGACGACAGTACCCTTGAGTCCCGGTCTCTGCGGAGCCTGGACACGCTGGACAGCTTTGTCAATGCCTACACGGACCGGGGTTATGACGAGAGGAGTGAGAGTGAGAGTGATGACGAGGACGGGGATGGGGATGGGGATGGGGATGTGAGCATGGGTTGGACGGGAGTTACCCAGGTGCAAGCACAGAACCATGCGCTGGCCCAGGCTCAGGCGGTGGTGCCCGCCTCGACGGTCATGACACCGAGCAAGATCGTCCCGGCGCCAAACGCCAGTGCACCGAGCACGCCCAAGGCCAAGGCCCAGCCGAGCAAGCTCCAGGCCAAGACTCCAGTCAAGACCCCCGTGGCAGCGCCTCTCAAGACTCCAGCCCAGACTCCGACCAGGACACCAACCAGGACATCAGCCAAGACACCAGTCCAGACTCCAGTCAAGACGCCAGTCAAGACCCCGACCAAGACAAGGACTCCTATCAAGTCGCTCTTCCTCAACGCCATCATCGCGCCCAAAAACCCCACACCCGCCAACCCACCTCTCAACCGCCCCGCATCAACTACACCGACACGCACCACGCAAGACACTCGGCACGCCCCTTCCAACGCGTCCTCTGCGTCGTCTACCGCCCCGTCCCCACTCTCAACAAGCACCACAGCACCGCAGCCCCGCCTCAAGCCCCGCAACGCAGGCCACCGGTCGACCTTCTCCCTGCCCCTGTTCGCCATTTCCGAGCGGGGCGAAAAGGCCACCGCCGCTGTCAAACCGTCGCCTGGTCCTGGCCCTGGTCCCAGCCATGGTCCCCGGGCCCGTGCTTCTGTTCACTTCCATGTTCCCGCAGCGACACCCGCCCCGGCGTCAGTCACGGCTCCAGCCACGCCTGTCGCGGTCATGGGAGGACCGCGCAGGCCGGCGCCGCCCCCGCCAGTGTCTGCACCCTCACCCATCCCCAGGCCCAACGGCCATGCCAGGGCCAAGTCTATGGCCTCTGTGGCGGACGAGAAGACTGTCGCGCGGTGGCCGTGGGGTGCGTCGCGTAAAGCTGCCGCTGCCGCCGGCAAGTAGGTGACGTGGTGATGTGGTGACGCAGGATGCGTTTTCCGTCCCCCTTTGTTCTAGGTGTTTTTTCTAGGTTTCTTTGTTTTTACAGCAGTTTTTATAGACCTACACGCACCGTATTAGTTAGTACTCCCCTTATTACTTGTCCATTGATACGTCGAGCAGAGCCACAGCAACATGACCTGCCTGTCTGCATGCCAACAATGGGATATCCTACTTCTGACCACCACCACCACCACCTCCTCCTCCTCCTCCTCCGCCCTGCTGAGCCAGCCGCCCAAACAGGTTTCCAACCACGCCGCTCTCGCCGCCTTGGGACTTGAAGCTCTCGAGCAGGTCGCGCATCATGGCGTACTCGCGCTGCTGGTCGTCGTCCAGCTCGCCGGCCTCGGGCACGTCGTCGTCGTCGAGGTCAAAGTCGACGCCGTGGCCCTCGAGCGCCTGGCGCAGCTCGGCGTCCATCGCCGCCAGCTCGTCGTCGTCCATCGCGTCCAGGTCCGCTTCGGTCGGGAGGGACGCGAGGGACGCGAGGGGCGGCTTGCCCTTGTCCGTGTTCTTGGAATTGGACGTTTTGGACGTTTTGGACTTTTTGGACTTTTTGGACTTGGACTTGGGCTGGGTTGAGGCCGAGGCCGAGGCCAAAGTCGAGCCAGCAGCAGTACCAGTACCCGTGGCGGCCTTGTCGCGCGGCTTGAACGTGACCTTGGGCGGTGCGGACGGCTGCGCCTCCGCGGCGTTGGAGCCCTTTGCGCGTGCGAGCTCGGCGTCCATGGCGGCCATCATGCTCTCGAACGAGTTGAGCGCCATGTTGGGCTGTCCCGGTGCAGTGCCAGCGGGAGCAGCAGCAGCAGGCTCGGCGAACTGCACCTTTGGCTTGGTCGATGCCGCTGCTGCCGGTGCCACCGCCACGCCCGCATCGCTCTTCTTCTTGGGCTCGGGGACATACGCGCCGCGTTCCTTTCGGCTGGCGATAATCTTGTCCCACATGTCGTCCGAGATCCCCAGCGCCTCGCGGGAAAACTTGAGAAAGTCCTCTTCCTCGTCGGCCATGTCCACGTCTCCATCCCCTTCTCCGTCCGCGTCCGCGTCCCCGTCCTCGTCCATGCCCTCTCCTTCCTGTTGTCTCTCACTCTCCGCCTTCGGGGTGTCGTCCTTGGCGTCTCCGCCCCACACACGCTGGCGCATGAGCTCGTCAATCTCGTCCGTGTCAAACTTGAGCTCCTTGGCGCGTGCGGCGTCGGCCTTGTCCTCCTCATCGCCCTCGTCGTCGTCCTCGTCGTCAATCTCCTCAATGTGCGCCTCGCGCGGCTGGGGGTCGCTGGCGCCATCGCCCCACTTCATCTGCGCAATGCGCCGTCCCAGCGATCCCTTGACGGGCAGGTCGGCCTCGTCGTCCTCGTCGCTGTCAGAGTTTGAGACATGGCCGTCGTACTCTTCCTTGGCGAACACGGGCGGGCGCATCTTGGGAGGCAGGAGCGAGTCGCCAAAGGCCGTGCCGGCGACGGTACCGCGGGCGGCGGCCTTTGACTCGGACTGAGAGGCATCCATCTCGATGTCTTGCTGAGCTTCGGTGTGCTGGGTCTGAGTCTGAGTCTTGCGGCCCCATTCCTCGGCCGGGAGGGAAGGAACGAGGTTGGCCATACGCTCCTGCCTCTGAGCCTCGGTCGGCTGGTCGTCGTCGTCATCGTCAGAGTCCGAGTCCATGTCTTCGTCCGACAGTTCGCTGCGTGGGTTAGCGGATTCTCTCGCTTCCTATACCCACTCGGCAAATCGGGCGCCTTGCATGTCGCCTTGTCCAGCGATAAACTCCTCAACCTTGGACGCGAGGTCCTGGAGCGCCTTGCCGTGCTCGTCGCCCAGCTCGACAGGCGCACCAGGCGCACCAGGAGCAGACTCGGCTGCTTCCTTGGCTTTGGCGGTGCCCGCCGAGCGCATCAGCATGGCATCGAGCTCGTCCGGGTCCACCTCGAGCCACTTGTCGCTGTCCTCCGGGGCATCGGGGGACACGGCAAGGTCCGAGTCTGGGACAGCCGCCGACTGCTCGACGGCGTGGTCGACCAGGTAGGCAAAGGATGGGCGCTGTTGGGCAGTACTGCGTAGGTTAGCTCTCGCTGGTAAGACGGCACCTACTCGGAGGAACGGGCGGCAATCCAGCCCTTTGCAGCCTCCTGCTCGCGGTTCTTCCACTCGGCGCTGCCTTGCCTCTCGTCGCCAAAGAAGCCGGCACGCTCCAGGTCGGCAATGTACTTGGTGTACTCGGGGTCCGCGGCGAGCTGTTCGGCGGTGGTCTGCGCCTGGTGAGAGTTAACTTACCGCCAAGCATAATAACTCACGTCCGCAACACGGCCCTTGCGACCGCCTTCACGACACATGATCTCAAACCCCGTGGCAATCTTGACACCGAGGTCGCGCCACTTCATCTCGCCCTCGTTCCCGGCCTCATCGCGTACATGCCATTCGGGGCCAAACACCCTTGGAGGGTGGAAGACCTGGCCCTGGAGCTGGGCGTACGCTGCGCGCGTGAGGAGGACAGACGAGAGGACGGCCGGTGAGGGGGGAAAGTGGGTCATGCGAGCCGCGGCCTGTGTGGTTAGAACGGCAAACCTACTCCAGTTAACCCACTCTCAGTTGTGCCGGGTCGCGCACGTAGAAGCCCTCGACGGCACGCTGGATGAGTTCCGGGGACGCGTTCAGCGCCCGTGCAACCTTGGTGGGGAGATAGGCCTTTGCGTGGTGCTGGTGGGTGGACAGGGCCGCGGGGTAGCTGTCATGGATGTCAGCTGCTACTCCCATGCGTCTCGTAGCTGCACTCACCAAGATATCCGCTCCCATACAGCACCCTCCATTCCTGCGCTTGCGCGATACTTGCCCGTCTCGACGGCCTTGAGCGCATCCGGCTCGCTAACCCACGCATCGTCGTCGCCGCGCGTGCGGCCCGACTCCTCATAGTCGTCGTCGGCGACTTGGTGCGGGCGAGCAGAACTCGAGCGCACCGTCAACGGCAGGAGATGGAGATGGCCGCCTGCGAGCCACAGCTGAGGATCAGGTCAGATAGAGTACGCCGTGTCAGAGAAGCTATCTGCACCCACCCTGTTGTCTGCGTTCTCGGGGGAGACCCAGTCGGGCAGCTCGTGCGCCGCTTCAATGAGCAGGAACTCGCCGTCAGAGTCGCGGATGCTACAGCATGTCAGCATGTTCTTCCGTTACCCTCCGTCACACTCCCCTCCACTCACCTAATGACTAGTGTCGGCCACAAGATGGAGACCTGCCTCAACAGCCACACCACGAGCCACTCGTCGTCTACCGCGTCGCCGACGCGCATCGTCCCTTCCAACTTGCTGCCATTGACCACTTTCAGCTCCCAGCCGTCCTTGTTCCACAGCCACGGCTGCGGGAGAAGCGAGTGGACGTGCGTCGATATCAGCGTTGCGAGCGCTGCAGCGTCGGCCGCGTCCACTGAGGATGGTGGAGGCGCGGCGGCATCGGCAGTGTTGTTTGTTGTCGTGGTAGTGGTGGCGCGAAAGTTGGCCGGAATGTGGAGTGTGTAATGCAGCGTGTCCTCTGCGATTGTCGGCAGAGGGAACGCGCTAGGCATGTGGTTGAGCGAGGGGAAGCTCTGTGCCATGGTGGGCTAGCACTGTGACTGTGAGAGATACGGGACAACAACAACCCTTCCCCGCGGGCATCACGACCGGCGATCTAACTTTTGGTGGCGAACACAGAACATGACCGAATCACGACGGAAGCAAATTATCCTTCGACGTCGATCACCAAGTGGCACTTTGTGCTGCTGCGTCTGCTGGTCTAGTTTCTTGTCATTATTGCATGGCATTTGACATCAACGGAGCATGGGTTCTAATGACTCGGATACACCAGGAGAACAAAGCAGCCAGGGTCCAGACCGCGCCCCAGAGTCGACGCAGGTGACGCTCTCGTAGCGTGACATAAGCAAAGGGGGAAAAGGGGGGATGTGTAGAAAGACACGGGGGACAAGGGGGCAGCCGAAAAAATGGAAATGGAAGCAGGCATGGGAGAGAGAGAGAGAGAGAGAGCGAGAGCGAAAGGCGGAGGCAAATGATGCGTGAATGGACTTGAGGGAGAACACAGGGGTGGGAGGACTAGAACCGGATGGTGTTGGGACGCGGGTGGGTCGCGTGGTGGTGGTTGACGCCAGTGAACGCGTAGGTGCCAAACTGGGGGCCAAACTGCGGCGTGTTGGGAGCACTGCCAAAGCTGCGAACGGGGGCCGGGACGTTCAGACCCGCGTCAAAGAGCGAGGGACGAGCACCGGGACGCGAGGGGCGCGGGAGGGTGAACGAGGTGCGGGGGACAGCGACAGGGGAAAGGGGGGAAGCCTCAGCCTCAACCGCCTTCTTGAGCGCATTGTACGCCGTGGTAAAGCTCGACTGGGCACCCTTCTCCAGAGTGAGGCAGGCGTTGGTACCGAAGCGAAGGTCCTGGGCCTCGCTTGTGGGCACGACCATGCGCGAAAACTCGATGCGGAAACGCACACCCTTGACGACCTTGCCGTAAATGTCGCGCGTGTCGAGAATCTTGCACTTGAGTGCGCGGCAGCCGTCATACTCGACGATCTTGACCTGAACACCGGCAACCATGAGGCAACGACGAACAATGTCGCGACCATCGCTGACGGTGGGGCAAGGCACGATAATGTCGTACGAAGCAGGCTTGAACGAGAACAGGTTGCCAAACCACGAGTGCTTGGGCGAGCTGTGCGAGTTGGGCAGGGTCGAAGCCACAGGGTCGGCGGGGCCCGACTGCTTTTTGCGCTTCTTGAGCATGCCAAAGCCGTCGGTGCTGCGAGCGTGGAAGGGCCCGTTGCTGCGCCTGCTGCCCCAAGTGCTCGTCTTGGTGTCGTCGGGCATGTCGGCAATGTCGTCGATCATGACGTACGAGTTCTCGCGGCCAAGGTGCGACTCGACGCGCGGACGAACAGGAAGAGCGTGCTCGTTCGAGACCGTCCTTGGAGCGGGAGGAGCCGACCGTGTCGACATCTTGGGCGGCGGCGGCGGCGGAGCCGAACGCTCGGCGTGCAGGTGCGAGACCGGCGCAGGAGGAAGCGAGTGGTGCGCGTGGCCGGCCGAGACGGAACGAGGCTGTGTCTCGGGAGGCGGCAGGCTCTGGTGGCCAAACGTCGTCTGGTGGAAGGCCGGGGTGGTAAGCACGGGCGACTCGCAACGGCTCGACATGGAGCGGGTGCGGTAGCTGCCCGATGCCTGGCTCCAGCGGCCAGAGACGGGAGGTGGCAGCTGGCTGTTGCGCGAGGGAGCACGCGGCGCCGCACCGAGTCCGAGACCAACCATGGGAGACATGGGCGAGGCAGGAACAGGCGACGACGCGTAGCGAGGGACAGAGCCGTGGTGGTCGACTGAGATCGAGTTCAGCGACATGGCCTCGGTGTCATCGTCTGGAGCATCGCCAAACTGGTCGTCGCTTCCTTCCTCCTCCTCTTCCACAATACGCGCCGACTCGCCCAGGCGGTGGGCCATGTCGTTCTGCTGCTCGGGACGAGGCGACGTCACGGGCGTGGCCGAGACGGTCGACATGTACTGCATGTACGCCGCAAACTCTGGGCCCTGGAGGGCCGAGTTGCCCGAGCTGCTGGAAGCCGTCGACGAGCGAATGTGCATCGAGTTGAGCTGGTTGGCAATCTCGCACAAAAAGTTCTGGAGCTGAGCGTTCTCGACATGAGGAGGCGAGAGGGGTGGCAGCTGAGGCGCGTCGGCGAGGCCCATGGCCGCAGCGGTACCAGCAACATGAGCCGCGTTGATACCATCGCCAGCAGACACCTTGGCCTGAGGAACTGTGGGCTCCTTGACTGGGGTAGCCTCTTGCAAAGTGATGGCTGGCGCTGGCGGCGCACGCAGTCCGCCGGGTGAACGAGGGCCGGCGGGGGCCGGTGAACGAGGACCAAGCTTGGACGGCGTGCGAACCACCGGCGAGTCGGTCTGGAAAGCAGCATGAGCAGCCTGGGCCGCCTTCTTCGGTGTGGGGGCCTGAGGGCGAGGAGGAGGCGTGTTGTGGTGCTGGATGGTACCGTTCTCGCGCAGAGGAGCAGGTTTCCGGCGAATGTGGAGCGGGGCAACGGGCGTGGGTGGTGCGCGACGCTGAGCCTGCTGAGCACCAGCCGACGGCTCCTCGATACGACGCATCTTTTGCGGCGAGCCTGGGGGAATGGCAGCGTTCTGTGCACGCACTGGACGCGCGTGGGGACGCGCGCGGTCCTCGTCCGTGTCCTCCTCGTCCGAGTCATCGTCCATGTTGTAGTTTTCCAAATGACGATTCCTGTACTTGACGAGAAGGTGGTAGATCGCCTTCTCCCAAGTCTTCTCGGGGCTCATGAGCGCCTTGTAGATCTCCCCCTGGGTCGCGCCGTGCCACAGCGTCCTGAGGTTGGCCATGATATCGGGGTCAATGTCGTGGACGGGAACGGGACGCGCCATGGTGTCTAGTGCCAGCGGGGTGGGCAGTTCGCGGCCACCAGCGAGTCGGGGTGGACTCCTGATGAAGAATGGGTGTGCCATGATCTCGGGCATGGTGATACGCTCCTCGGGATCCTTGTCAAGCATCTTGCGAAGCAAGTCTCGTGCCGACATGTCAATGTCATCGGGCATCTCAAAGTGGCCAATCTTGACTTTTTGCAACAGCGTGCGAATGTTGTCGTCGTCGAAGGGTAGCCGGCCAGTTAACAACGCAAACAGGATGATGCCACAGGACCAAATGTCGCTCGCCGATCCGTTGTAAGCCTTTCCTGCCACAATTTCCGGCGACGCGTAGTGTGGTGACCCACACGACGTCTCCAGCATGCGCTCGTCTGCCTGCCACGCTGCCATGCCGAAATCGGCCACCTTGATGTTCTTGTCCTTGTCCAGGAGCAAGTTCTCAGGTTTCAGGTCGCGGTGGCAAATGTTAAAGCGATGGCAGTAGTCGACAGCAAAGATGATTTGCTGAAAGTAGTGCAGAGCCTCATTTGGTGGCAGACGACCACGACGGACGAGATAGTCGAAGAGCTCGCCGCCGGGAACGTACTCCATGATGAGGTAGCTGCAATTTGTTAGCGCCGGTAACGGTGTGAGACACATCCCTGGAAGGCTGGAATGGAAGGCCCCCCGGTCCCGGGAAGAGACAAACACTCCGACGACGACTTACAGGTCCGAGTTGGTCTCCCAAACGTCATACAGTGATAACACGTTGGGGTGGTCAATGAGCTTCATGATGACAATCTCGCGCTCAATGCCCAACAGTAGCTTTTCTGCGCGTGCGCCGGCCTGGTCCATTGACAAGCGCGACGAAAGGATGAGACCCTTGGGCACAATCTTGACAGCAGCATACTGTCCGGTGAGGGCGTGCTTGGCGATCTTTACGCGGCCTGGGAGTACATGTCAGCGTTACGCGCGTCTGTGTTGTCGATGCGGATGGGATCGCCCGGATGTGTGCGCACCAGATGAGCCCTTGCCAATGGTTCGTCCAATACGCCACTGGCCAATCGACTTGGCATCAGGCTCGCGTCCCGAGCTGGACGATGTGGTGGAGATGCGCTTGCTATTGCGGTTGGTTGATGGGCCAGGACCGGGGGCAGCAGCCGCATTGCGACGCGTAGATGGTTGGTGCTGGACTGCAGTCGCCATGGTGGTGGAGTGGGATGGGAGCGGCGCGCGCTGCGGTGGGAAAGGGGGTGGGCGGTGGGTTGCTGCTTGAGGAAGGCGGTGCCAGCAAAGATGACAATGCCAGCGAACCGCTTACAAGCAACGATGGTGTGGAGTGCGGAGGGGTACGATGGGCAGGTCGGTGTTGGTGAGGGGGATGATGGAGACAAGAGACGGGTGGGTTGCTGTCGTTGGCAAGGTGGGAAGAGTGACAAGAGACAAGAGAGACGCAGAGAGCGAGACGGTGTTTGGCGGTCGAGGTGCCTTAGCGTCAGGCAAGGACCCGCGGCTGCTGTGCCGAATGCGCCGGATTTCTATCCGAGCAAAAGTCACAGATGTAGTGCACAGTATAGCTGTTCTATGTAGCTATGTGTCGTGGGTCGTGTGGGGATGCGCAGGCGTCTATGCAAAGGTGGTGGGTGGTTGTCGATGATGCAAATTGAACGTTGGCGACAGCGCGTTCGCACTGTGAGAGGGATGGATTTGGGCAACCGGTGGGTTCCGTAAGGAGAGACGTCTACGCAGTAACTGTACAGGATTGGATGTATTTGGCCATTATGTCGCCAATTCTCTCCCCCTGCGCTCCACCAGAGAGCAGAGAGCTACACAGCGCACACAGCGGTGGTCGTCGTCGAGGTCTCGGTTGAGCGCGCGGACTGACGCGAGCAACGGGCCCTGGTTCTGCCGCATGTTCGTTGAAAGACAGGCGCGCTTTCCGTCGCTGTGGTTGGCTGACGTAGCTCCAATGTTTGTCACCAACTCACACACCAAAATCCGTCCGCTGCTGCTCTGCCGTGGCCCCCCACTTGCAGCTTGCAGCTTTGGCTCTCGGCTGTAGCGCGCGCGGCAGTTGGGAGGTCACACCCTGGCTCCCATACTTTCAGGCGCTGCCTAGACAACGAGGCTGCACTGCTGCCGCGCTGCGCGGCCACACCAAAAGGCCAACAGCAGCCTTTAGGGCTCCAATTCTGAGACTGCGCGTCGGACAGGTTCAGGCCCCAAGTGGCGGAGGGAAACAGCACGCACAAGGGTGCAGGCCACGTACTTTTACGCAAACATTCGGGTCGTGCCGTACAACCGCCCACACATTCCTGGCCGTGCATGGGTTCAATGCTGCAAACGCTTGTTACGGTAGACCCAAACATGGTGACGCAGAGCAAAGCCTGCCGTCGCCGCTTAACATGTCTGACGTCGTGAAACATGCCCTCACTCTCCGCTGATCCGCTGCTTGCCACATGCTGAACACATGTGCCCGGGACGCGAACTAGGCCAGGCCCCCCCTTTTTTTTCTGACCTGGGTCCTGTTTCGCGGCTCCGTATGCAATAATGTCATGCTGTGATCCTCACACTCGGGCGTGCACACTCCCACGCTCTCACTTTTGCCCGATGTGTACAGTAGCTTGCGGTTCTACAGTGTCCTGGTCATGTATCCTGGCACCCTTGTGTTCATGGGCCGTGCCCACAGGCCACAGGCCGCGCCAGCCCTTTGAGCTCTCCCTGTTCAGTAGCGCCAACATGGAGTCGTCTCCACGGCGCAGCCACTTGGGATCTGGCCAGGAAAAAAGCGGAGAGCGGCCAACGATGTTTGTATTAGACGCCGCAATTCAATTGACAGGACACGCCGACGCGTCATTCATCGCGCAAAAATCCCTGCCAGGTCGACGCCAGGTCGACGCCAAACGACGAGCGTGTGTCCCCCACCTCAACCTTGTACCCAAAGTACTCAGGCAGCCTTAGAAACCCTGAAAGACAAACAAACATCGCAGAGGTGCTCGCGTGCTCGCGAGCGGCAGAGCGTCGAAAGCAGACCCAAGAGAGCCAAGAGCCCAGGTGTACAGGTGTGCGTGAGTGAGCTCTGTTTAAGCTCGCTTTCAACGCCAACACGCGTCAAAGGGAAGGCACCGCCGCCACACGAGCCAAACTTGGCACTCCGCCAGAGCAACGAGGTCATGCGTGTTTGTCGAGGCTGCAGGGATCGGGGTCTATGGAGGTAGGACCTGTATTCTATTCAGGCCTGATGACTGGGAGCTCCTAGCAGGCGTCTGGTGTCGATCTTGCGCAATAGAACCAGGCTCCAAGTGTCTCCTCTCGCCGAAAGACTGCCGGTTGCCTCCCGTACCAGGGATTTCCTGATCTCTTTGCCCCGCGCTGCCCACTGGCATTCCAACGACGCCTCCTTACGCGTTAGGAAACTGGTCTTTGCTATGACAATCGGCCTTCATCAAGTTGATCCATCAGACTAGTGGCAGGCAACATTGACGACAATGTCCGTGCATTGGGTTATTGGAGCAAACAACGGTCAGGTTGAAATGCCCATTCTATTGCGATTTCCGATGATCAACCTTCCCTTACATATGTCTTTGATGGTCGCTGTCACGGTGGCTCCACAATAGGCTGGTTAGCTTGTTACTCTTCACCGTTTGCGCTATGCTGCGCTTCCGTGACACTCAGTCCTGATACCAGCGGGCCAGCGGGCCAGCGCCCAGCAAACAAGCTCACATGCCAAAGTGGCATCATGGCGGCTCAGACTCACACCCGCACCCGCCCCACACGCCACCTCCGCAACGGCCGGCGTTCATGTCAGTACGCGTTCCCTAGACACACCTGCATGGGTTAGAGCGTACACAATGGAGTACAGGGGAGACTGCAGCGGGCTGGCTCCGAGACAATGTAGGGCTGGGGTACCTTTTTTGATCTCTGTACCTCTACGCAGTTCCGGCGGTACTGGGAACGCGTCCTCCCAGAGGTCGCCAGCAAGAAAGCCTAACTTCGAAGGGCAAGTGCAGAACAACAGGACACAACCTGGTCCGGAATTGGAGGGCAGAGGTCCATTGAGGAAGGTCCGATATGGTCCTCTTTCGAGACGCGCTCGGTACCGCGTTGCCGCGAGATGGAGACGGGAGAGTGAGTCCGGGGTTCGCATTGGAATGCGGCGCCACCAGGCCCCCCTTCGGGGTCGGAAGCAAAGTCGCTTCTCGGCGGCGGCGGCGCGGCGTCGAGTCCTTGGATGGCGTCAGTCGCCGAGCAACCCATACAGGCATTCGACTCTCATGGCACGACGCGTCTCACGTCGCTTCCCGGCGGGCCGCAAGCTGTCAGGCCCCAGTCCCGAAATGGGGAAACCGTACTGGACGCGCCCGTTTTCCTTACATTTGTCCGGCTTGAACCGAACACTGCACCTCCGTACCGCTGGGCAAGAGCCCGAAGGTCGGCGGACACGCACATGCTGGGCCCAGTACGCGGAGGGATGCAAGAATCCAGGTCCGATGTCGCTCTAGGGTTTCGTGAGAATGAAAGCTTGAATGAGTTCAAGGTGGTCTTGGCTTCCGACTCGCGTCACTGCCTCTTTTGGCCAATGCGTTTGCTCCATTGAAGGCAGCTGATCTGAACGTTCAGAGCGTGTCCCCGCGACACCGACGAGGTGCTTCAAGGCCACTTTGGCTGGAGGTCGTTCCTCACAACTGGGCGTTTTTCGCGTGGCGGTCGTCCTTTAATAACTCTAACTCCCGCCGTGCTTCCGCTATATTAGCTACATGTATGCATTGTATGTACAATGTAGCCAGACCTGCTGTTGGATATTGATCCTGGAACTTCCGGGATGTCAGAAGGAAGTCGTCGACGCGAGACATGCAGCGATCGCAGCGAGGATGTAGAAGAAGCCATGTCTGGAGAATGCCACAGTGTCCTCTTTGTCTTTGTGGCATTGACCGCGTGGTCGTCGGCTGCCGAAGCTTCTTCAGAGGAGGTTGGGGATACATGCGGATCGTGCAGACCTGCTTGCATATGCCTAGAGAGACCCAACCACTCTAGAAGCCACAAGAGAGCGATGGTGAGGCATGCGTGTACAACGGAGAAGAGCACGGCCCAAATAATTGATTACGTAATGTGTATTTAAACCTGGCATAATGCCCTGGATTAACCACGTACATTACACTAAGTGCCGGGGTTCTAATCCAGGAAGAGATCTGACATGGGGGCAAAACAAAAACACTGGCCAGTGTAGAAAGGAGGAGAAGGAGCACAACGACCATCTTATTGCCGTTGGCGCAATAGGGCATAACTGATATGAGAGGGAATGTGGCCCCGACCTTGAACCGAAGTGTAGTGCGTCTGTCATAAGGAAGAAAGGGTATTGGGGGTGGTGCTGTACAGGGGCATGTTGGCCGAGACAAGTCGCGGAGACGCGTAACGCCACCAGAAACGCGAACTGACACAGTGTGGCTGGCCTCGAGCTGGGCAGTTGGGGTTGACTGGATCACTGGCACATGAAATACCTGGTTACCTGGTTATGTTGCATCTGGTGCATAGAGGCCAGCAGGCCAGCAGGCATGCCGGTACTCGCGCGACCGGTCGATGGCGTAGCGTTCACTTTTCCATCACATTGCACCGATTCTTCCAGGAAGGAGGACCTGACGTCACTCACAGCTAGGCATGTGCAATATTCAGCCCTCACATCTATACGTACACCTACACACCTACACACCTACGCGCACAGCCATACTCCCCGTGATTCCATGTCCAGATATGGCCTACCACGACTGACCATTTGCATTCGCCACCCACGTCAACGCATTCAGTGCAGCCTGAACCACTATGCCACGCGCGAATTCCAACAAACCCAACAAAACCCAAGACACCACCACCCGGGATGTCAACCCCTACCCCCCTCACAGGCGGCTCTCCTCGTCACCGAAACCTAAACACACCCATCTTGATCCGGAACTTACCACACCGAGACGAACATGAAGACCAAGCTCGACCCGGATTCTGACAACCACGACCTGAACCCGAAAACGGACACCTCCAAGGCCGACTCGAGTACCGCATCCCCAACCTCAGGCAGAGCTGCGGTCAGCCGAGAGTCGTGAACAGGCGACGAGCTTGAAGCCATCTTTACCCACGTCGCGAAGAAGGTGGGCGGTCCGTTGAGCTTTGAGGGAGCCGTGGAGGGCCGCACGGGGAGGCAGACGTACATGGCGTGGCGGTGAGTGGCGGACGGTGTGGAGCCCATTCTGATATACTTCAGCCAAGTTGTGCAACACACGTGTAGGAAGGCTTTGCAGGCAAAGGGAGCGAGTAACACCGCCAAGAAGGAGGGTTGAGAAGGTGGAATCACTTGTGCATAATGAGCCCAGTGCTGCACGAGCCGTGTGCCATCAACGGGTCGGCTACTCGGCATGGTTTTAGTCCACATTTTCTCCAATTTCCCAATCGCTTATGAAGTGTCAATCCCACCCTGAACCACCGTCGCTCTTCAACTTAAGACTCTCTCTCTCGTGGATAGACATTTGAGCGCATCTCTGTCAGCACTGTCTCGAGTCGCACGGCAGATGCTGATGTCATGTGTGGACCCCTCAATGATCCATCACACACATCAAGGGCGCCGGCAGCCATTGTTCTCACCAGTGGGCACACTTCCATGCGCGGACTGCAATTCTTCACGTCACACATTCACCCATGCCTCGCGCAAAGAACACTTCCACCGAAACGAAGCCGTACTCTCGGCCTCCCCTTAACGGTTCTTCGTCGTCTGAATGCCCCAGCCATGACGCTGGAGGCGACAAGCCGATGGAGCTGACGGAGCGTCGCCGCGTCCGCAACACAAACATTACTGCGCCCAACAATACCACACAGTCCAATGGCTCCGGCACCGGCAAGTGGAACGCTGAAGAGTATGTGACCCTCTTCATGCACGTCTGCACCTGGGGCGGGAGTTCAAAGCACTTTGAGGGTGCAGTTCCCGGCCGTACCAAAGCCCAGGCGTATGACTGTTTCAGGTGAGCCCCGACCCCGCAGCACTGATGGCCAAAGGTGTTTGTTCCGTCACTGATGCAATGTCTACAGACAGGTGATCAAGCCCTACCTCCTCAAGTCCGTCGCCGAGAAGGCCGCCACCTCCAAATGGTCTGCAGAGGAGTACAGGGCTCTGCTGAACCACGTCTTTCAATGTGGCGCGAGCTCGTCGACTTTTGGAACAGCGGTCCCGGGGCGTACCAAGAACCAGAGCTATGATGCCTTTCGGTGAGTGTCTGGTAGCTTCTTCGTTTCCATCACCTGACAAGCAATCACAGCCAGGTGCTCAAGCCCTTCATTTTCACCAAGCTCGAGGAGAAGGCCAGCGCCAACAAGTAGGCAGTGATGTGATGTGCCGCGGTTCTCCGGGACCAAGGTGTACGGGGAAGGGGGTCGTTGGGGTGTGGCAATGTTCCATAGGGAGTAAGTGATATACGCCCTTTAAATGTTATCATGTGCCTCTATCCTCGCCACCACAACTGCAGCGTCCTTCTTATCATACTCTCTTTTATCACTCCTGGACACCTCGTACTTCAACCGCAGATCAAACACACACACAACATGCCCGCCGCCAAGCGCACTGTCACTCTCGTCCCCGTTGATGGCGAGGACACCAAGATCAAGCTGGAGCTCGACTCGGACCAGGAAGAGAAGAAGCCCCAGCCAAAGGACACCAAGACCCCCGCCAAGCGTCCGGCTCCCGAGCCCAAGCCCACCAAGGAGCCCGTCAGGCGTGGCCGCCCTCCGGGACCAGTCAACCGTTGGACGTCGGACGAGTACAAGCTGGTCCACGCGCAGGTCATCAAGAACGGCGCACGCAACTTTGACGACGGCATTGTGCCCGGTCGTTCGGGTCAGCAAGTCAGGAATGCCTGGGTGTGAGTCAAGTTAATGACGTCCCAAGCTGACTGGCAATGCAGCCAGGTCGTCCTCCCCACCTGCTCCAAGGCGCTCGAGGAGAAGGGTGCCAGGTAGGCTGACTTTGGCTGGAGTTCGAGGCTGGGATCTTGTAGTATAGGATGGAAGCGTGCAACACGACATGATTGATGTCATCAGCGTCCAACTGTGTGCCCCTTACAGGACGCCTTATCCTCCTGTCCCAATTCTTCTTCTCACAGTCTTTCACAAACGCTCAACATCCATATTCCTCTAAATCACCCACTATGTCGTCTTTCAAGCGCAGTGCCTCGATGTCTCCTGATGACGAAGATCTCAAGCCGATCCTCGAGTCCGATGACGACGTCAAGCCCTCCATCACTAAGCGCGCCAGGAGCTCGTCCGAGAAGCAGCCAGTCACCAAGTGGACGTCAGAAGAATACAAGCTCATCTTCGAGCACGTTCTCGAACATGGTCCACGCAAGTTTGAGGGTGTCGTCCCCGGTCGTAATGCCAAGCAAATCGCCATGACTTGGACGTGAGTGAGCCTTGTGGCGCAATGGTAGCGTAGATCTGCGGCGCTGATGAAATGCTACACAGTCGCGTCGTCAAGCCTACTTGTCTCAAGGCTCTGGAGGAGAAGGGGGCGGCCAAGAAGTAGGATATACGTGTGGTGTGCTCAGTGTGGAATGGTAGATTGGTGATGTGAGATGATCAGACACGGCACTGGGGCATGATGTGTTCAGAGTAGTACATAGCGGGTTGAACCCCCCCGGTGCGCCTGCTGTCGTCGACGTCTCTCTTCTTCCTACCCATTCATTCACTCGACCAGTAAAGCAACAATTTCAACGGCTATCTCATACAACGCAACACCTCCCAAGCCCGCGGCTGCTGTATCCTTGGACGACTAAGCGCACTGCACGTCAGAGACACCACGGTTCCACAGACACCTCCACCCAAGTACCACACGACTTCAAAGTCTCCGTCATAATGCAGGCCCAACCCCGCCGTCCCTGGACTGCCCAAGAGTACGAGCTCATTCTCTCGCACGTTCTCCAGAACGGTCCTGGCAACTTTCAGGGTGTGGTCCCTGGTCGTAGCGTCGACCAGATCCGTATGACTTGGACGTGAGTCTTGCGTACAGTACAGTACAGTACAAAATGTGGCAAGGCTGACGCCACCTCCCGACAAGCCGCGTCGTCAAGCCTACTATCTTCAAGAGTCTCGCAGACAAGGCTGGAGGACACCAGACCTAGGATATGGATATAAACGGCTTGTTATGGGCATGCACTAAGTTGCATGACCCCAAGATCGGAGGAGGAGGTGTGTCAATGTGATCAGCCGTGCCCCATAACATGCCATGTGAATCATTTGTCCCCTTCGCAACATTCTTCTTTCGCCACTCCTCGATAGCCCGCTCATATCTAACACAACACACAACTATACTTCTTACTACTCCATGCCACCTACCAAGCGCTCCCTCTCCATGTCCGAGGACGAAGACCTCAAGCCCAAGCTCGAGTCGGACGGCAACTTCCAGCCCTCCACTGCGAAGTCCACCAAGAAGCCCGCTACTGGCGTCACGCGTACGGCGTGGACGGGAGAAGAGTACAACCTCATCTTCGCGCACGTCACCAAGCACGGTGCACGCGACTTTGAGGGTGTGGTTCCTGGTCGCAACCTCAACCAGATCCGTAAGGCTTGGGTGTGAGTACAGAGTGGTGGTGTGGTGGGATCCAAACGCTGACGATATGAAGCCAGGTCGTTCAGCCTACATGCAAGAAGGCGCTTGACGAGAAGGCTGCCAGCAACAAGAAGTAGTGCTACGGATATGCGTTGATTAGTTCGTGCTGTGCTGTGTTGATAGGGAAGGGAATGCACGATGCACAATTGTGGGCTGGGAGATGTCATCAGCAATACATACACTGTCCATTTCCGCCACACACAACTACTGATGTCACCTTGCCAGCCCCAGCCGGGCATTCTTCCCACCACACACTCCACCATGCCCCGTGACAAGTCTTCCAAGACCGAATCCAAACCTTACACGCGGCCTGCAAAGCGCGAACCGTCAGCCAGCGACAGCAGTGAGAGCGAGTTCAAGCACACTCCCAAGCCCAAGCCCTCAAAGTCTGGCTCTGTCAAGCGCGAACCCAAGGAGCCCAAGGACAGCTCTGTCAACCGGCCCTGGACCGGCGCCGACTACCTTGCTCTCCTCGACCACATCCTCGAGCACGGTACTAGCAAGGCCAACCTCGCCGACGCGGTGCCCGGCCGCACCAAGAGTCAGGCTTACGACGCGTGGCGGTGAGTCTTTTGGCGCGTTTGGCCAGTCGCGCTTGAAATTCGGCGAAGAGTTGCTGACAACCGTTTTTCAAAGTCGCCGCGCGCTCCCTTGCATCCGCACCGCTCTCATGGCGAAGGGCAACAAGGAGTCCAAGTGATCGTGACCGTGCAACAGGTACACAGATGCAGGTGTGCAGGATCGTGCAGCTCGAAAGAAGGCGCCACTGCCTCTTGTCGCTATTCCGTCGTCACCTACGGTCAGCATAACCTGGGCTTCTTGGAACAACATCAACCTGGGCTTCTTGGAACAACATCTCTTCCTCACGATCAAACTCAAGACTGGGCACCAAAACTTCCAGTGCGTGAGTGAGGTTTGGGCAGTCTTCGATACCATAGCATTCCCTCACGTACTCACACTTCATCTACAGATAAGACGAGTGGCGAATTATTGGCCAGTCCTCAGGCACATGTCAAGAACGACTGACACCACTCAGATAGGTCACGCTGAAGGTGAACGTCAGTTGGCAACACTACTGACCACGACCATGCAACTAAACAAATCTCCTGGACCCGAATCCCAGGTCTACCTATGGCACATTCATGCTGGCAGTGTCGGCCCCCGGGTTGCGCTGTAAACAAACGGAGCCCACTTGATGACATCATTGGATTTGCCACTCAGCCCCACGCTTACTATTCTCGTTTTCTCTCTTTCCCCTCGCCTTTCAACCAGCATGGCCATCCTATCGCCCCCTCCAACATGATAAGTAACACCGCATTGGACCCCGACAGATACCCAGATATCCTCGACCTCGTCATTGCGTACGCTGCAGCCGATTCACTCCTCCCCCTTCGATATGTCTCGCGCTACGTGAAGAAAATTGTGGATCGACGGCTCTTCAACCATATCAAGCTTAGCTCGTCGGCTAGCACTGGCAATATGGTAGTACTAGAGAGTTCTCGGCGGATCCCACTGTTGGAGCGGCATAGGAGAAGGGCGAGACGGAACTCTTTTGCGTTATGCGCAATGACAGAAATCAAAAGCACGGCGCAAATCAAGATCGACGGCGAGCTACACGATGGCCGCACAGAGGGCCTGTTTCCAGCTGGTGCAGACCTGCGCGATGCACTGCGACATGTACGCCTCCTTGACCTCCAGGATCTCGGCGGCCTCGGCCTGGTTGACGCTATTGGCGTCAATGCGTCCACCGTGCGCATGTCGCTAATGCCCACCTACCCCACACCCGCAGCAGAGCTGGAGCCCGTCGCGTGGCCGGCGCACCTGACTCCATCCACAGTCTGGGTTACCGTGCTTCCCAACAACCCAGCTCCCGTAATCTCGATCCGTGGGCGCCGGATCATCCTTATCGTAATCTATGATGCGGAGGGCTACCGAAATACGGCCCAGTGGTACCCACAAGTCTTCCGCCTTGAAGACGATCAACGGCCTGGCGAGGTTGTGTTGCGATGGGCCCCATTGCATAAGACGGCGATTTTGAATTCGGCAATATCAACGGGGCTGGACACACTGCTTGCTCCATTTTTGGGACTGGGGACCCGGCTTACGGCTGTCAACCCACCACACGGCTGGGTGATGCCTGTTGGGACAGTGGTCATGTCCGAGGATGCTTGGGAGGCAGAGGAGGCGTGTGAGAATGAGTTTTTGTTTGGTCCGTAGAGAGTGGACCATCCGCAGTCGTGTCTGCTGTTTAAGACTGAGAAAGCCACGCAGTCGGGGCAAGTCGGATCACATCCCAGCAATTCAGCAACGCTCAGATCTCGAGCTCGCACTCTCAACTGTGCTTCTCGCACGTTTGGAGGTTCGCAAATACACATCCTCTTCACACCTCTTTCCATCTTTCCATCTTCCACTTTCCAACGAATAGTCGGTTCATGCCCTACTGCCCACCCCCAAACCACCCTGCTGGCCTCTCCGGCGTCCTCCACCCTCACCCAAAGCACCCAAAGCCCCCCGTTTTGAAATGGTGCGAAGTCCGTACAGCCTCTCCAGAACCAGAGGAGCTCGACGACAGTAGCGAGTCGCCCACCCCAGCTGAAGCGAGTCCCAAGAGCAAACCCGCCCACCAGACCAGCAAGACCACCCAACCAAACCAAACCATTCAGACCCCGCCGCCCCGAGTCGCCCCGCCCCGACCGTGGGACCAGGCAGAGTACACCCAGCTCCGCGAGTACGTGACCCTTCACGGGTCCAACATGGAGAGTCTCCGGAAGGCTGTTCCGGGGCGCGACGCGAACGATGCGTATCTCGCGTGGATGTGAGCTTGGTGATTGTTGGAAGCTTCGGTCGTGATGCTAACCCCAGCCAGCAACGTCGTCCAACCAGCGTGCAGCGAGGGCACCGTTGGTAAGATGGCGACGTAGGCGTCCACAAGCTACAAGTGGGGACGAACACAGTATATCAGGTGCCGTATATTGTACACTCAGAATAATGTGATCCCTGGCCGGGCTGTGAACAGGCCCAGGTGAGGTGGCGAACCGTGAGCACCGGGAAGAGTGACACACTGTCTCGGTGGCCCCGTGGTCTCGCACCGTAAAGTTACCGACATGGTCTTGGTCACATGAACCCAGCCCGCTGTCGATGATGTAAAAGTATTTTCGCCAGCGACCTTCGTGGACGCATTGCAGAAGAGTGCTCCCATGCCGACGTCGATATGATAGAAGAAGAATGGAGAGGACTATAAACACCCTGTACAGTGTCGATCTGCGGAGGCGGTCATGTCCGAAATGGGCCCCGGGTGGACGGACGCCGGATGTGGGGGCAGCTACCAGTAACCGGGGATGGGTGGTATAACTGGGTCCCCATCGCTCTCTCTCACTCTTCGACAACAACGCTTAACACTGCCATGTCACAGCTAGACTCCTCGAGCGGTGAGTGTTGACTGGACTGCTCTGAACTAACTGCCAGGTCGCTCGTTGAGGATCCTCATTGCGAACCGCGGTGAGATTGCGCTGCGCATCCAGTCATCCATCCTCCAACTGGGCCATGTTCCCTTGGGCGTGTACACGGCCCAAGAAGGCCACAACGCACCTCACCTTCGCCACCTGGCGGTCTCGTCGTGTATTCTGATTCCAGGCCATGGTGCAGCCGCGTATCTTGACATTCCAGCATTCATCGCGGTCGCCAGAGCAGCGTCGGCGGACGCCGTCATCCCTGGGTACGGCTTCCTGTCCGAGTCGCCTGCGTTTGCCCAAGCCGTCCTCGATGCAGGCATGATGTGGATGGGACCCCGGCCCGAGACTCTCAGTCTCTTTGGTGACAAGTACCGCTCCAAGCAGTTTGCCGACGAGTGCGGCGTGCCCATCCTCAAGTCGACTAAAGCCAATGCGAGCCTCGACGACATCCGCGCGTTTGCGACCACGCTCCCGGCTGGATCAAAGGTGCTCCTCAAGGCTCTTGAGGGTGGCGGTGGACGCGGCATTCGCATTGTCAACGATCTCACCAGCCTCCAGGCCGAATATGACAGTTGTCGCCGCGAGGCCATGCTCGCGTTTGGCAGCGACAAGGTCTTCGCCGAGCCGTTCCTTCAGGGTGCGCGACACATCGAGGTCCAGGTTGTGGGCGACGGCAAAGGTGGTGCGCGCGATGTCGGCGAGCGAGAGTGCAGTCTGCAAAGGCGCAACCAAAAGCTCATTGAGCTGTGTCCCTCCCCAACACTGGTTCACCTCCCCGGCCTCCGCAAGGCCATCATCGAGTCGGCGCTCACGATGGCCAAGAAGGGCAAGCTCCTGAGTCTCTCAACATTTGAGTTTCTTGTCGTCGCAGAGGCCGGCCAGTTTTACTTTCTCGAGTGCAACCCTCGCCTCCAGGTTGAGCACACCGTCACCGAAGAGGCGTACGGAATCGACCTCGTCGCGACCCAGATCAACCTTGCGCTCGGTGCGCCTCTGTCTGCCGTCCTCCCGCCCATACCACCGATCGCGCCTCGTGCTGCCCTGCAGTTGAGAATCAACGCTGAGCGATACCAGCCAGACGGCAGTGCGGTGGGCACAACGGGTACTCTCCGTACTTTCCTGCCTCCAGGCGGACCTGGGATCCGCGTCGACACTGCGGCTCACCCCCCGCTCGCTACAGGCTCCTACAAGCAAGGCCTTGACTTTGACTCGCTACTCGCCAAGATTATCATTGTCGGCCCCGACTATACTAGTACAATCTCCAAGGCCAGACGTGCATTGGAGCAGCTCCGCATCGCCGGTGTGCAGACAAACCGTAGTTTGCTGCTTGCCCTCACCGAGGACCAAGGCGTCGTGGACAACCAAGGTGTCAGCACCCGCTACGTTGAGATCAACGCCGGTCGGTTCTACGAGCGTGTTCAACTCCTCGAGGCACAGTGGCACGAGGACGAGAGCCACGCCTCGGCGGGAGTCGAAGATGAGGCGGTCAAGACCCTCCCACCGGCTGGCTCTGGACAAGCGTACATCAAGGCCCACCTCCCTGGCCGTATTGTCACACTCTCTCTCAAGCAGGGCACCAAGATCAACAAGGGCGACCAAGTAGCCATCCTCGAGAGCATGAAGATGGAGCACACAGTTACCTCGGAGGTCTCGGGCACGATCCTCAAGACGTACGCGGAGGAAGGCGGCCAACTCGCCGACGGTGAGGCCTTGGCGCTTATCGAAGTAGACGATGGTGCCTCCGACTCTGGCGCGGCGACTGCAGCCAACGCCCAGGTCGACCTCGACTCCAAGCCTGACTCGCTCCTCGAGCTCGAAAGGGTCCGCGCAGAACTGGAAGATGACAGCCCCATCCGCGCAAAGGCAACCAAGAGGCGACGCGACCGCAACTTCCGTACGGCGCGCGAGAACCTTGCCCAGCTGGTGGACAGCGGCTCGTTTACCGAGTATGGCGACCTTGCACTCGCCGCCCAAAGGACCCGTCTCTCGCCGCAAGCGCTGGCCGCGACGCGCAATGACGGTGTCATTGTCGGCTGGGGCAAGGTCAATGGCGGCCGCTGTGCTGTGGTCATGTACGACTATGGCGTGCTGGCCGGTACGCAGGGATACTTCCACCACGTCAAGCTGGACCGTATCTTCGAGTCGGTGCTGCACAACCCCGCCCCCGTGATTGTGTACGCGGAAGGTGGTGGCGGGCGGCCGGGCGACGTCGACTTGGTGCACCAAAAGGTGGCTGGGCTGAATACGCCGTCCTTTATCCTTGCTGCCAGGTGTAATGCGCGCGGTATTCCCATCATCGGTGTCGCCAACGGATACCTTTTCGCTGGAAACGCTGCTCTACTGGGAACCTCGGACTTCATCATCGCGACTACCAACAAAGGCACCTCTATCGGTATGGGTGGTCCAGCCATGATTGAAGGTGGCGGTCTGGGCGTGTACGAGCCCGACGAGGTGGGGCCCGTCCGCGAATCGCACATGAGCAACGGCAACGTCGACGTGGTGGTGTATGACGAGGCTGAGGCGACCACGGTGGCCAAGGCTCTTGTGGGATACTTTATGAAACCACCCATCAAGGCATTCACCTCGGACTCGCACTGGTATAACAAGGACGCTCGCTTGTTCCGCCACACCATCCCGACCGACCGGAAGCGCGCATACGACATGCACCATATTCTCAACCTCATCGGGGATGACGGCACCGACTTCTTTGAGATCGGCCCACACTGGGGGCAGTCGCTCATCACAGGCTTCCTCCGTGTCCAAGGCCAGACAGTCGGTGTGGTAGCGAGCAGCGTGCTTAGCCAGCTGGGCGGCGCGATTGATGCCCAGTCGGCCCGCAAGGCGATCCGCTTCCTCAACATTCTCACCAAGACCCGCGTCTGCCACCTCCTCGCCCTGTGCGACACGCCGGGCTTCATGGTTGGTCCAGCGGCCGAGAAAGAAGGCGGCCTCCGCGCGTTTGCCGAGTACTTTGCGGCGTCGGCGGCCTTTGTCGACGCCGGCGGTCGCGTGTTTGGCGTCACGGTGCGCAAGGCGTACGGATTGGGCGCACAGGCTTTGCTCGGAGGCTCGACGACAGTCCCCTTCCACAGTGTCGCGTGGCCCACGGGCGAGTTTGCGGGCATGGGCATCGAGGGCGCCGTCAAGCTCGGCATGCGCAAGGAACTCGAGATTATCAATGACCCCGAGGAACGCAAACGGGCCGAGCAAGGGTTCATTGATGAGATGTACACGCGCGGACGAGCGATCAACATGGCTCAGTGTACGGAGATTGACTCGGTCATCGATCCTGCAGAGACTAGAGACTGGGTCGTGCGGTGCTTGGCATCTGTTGAGCCCAGAAGTGGCTTTGACGGGTTCAAGCGCAGGGGACCGAGGTTGTAGACGATGTGCAGACGGTAGATGAAATGAAGATGCCACCAATTGCTGTGCCACTGGCCACTGTCTGGGAACAGAGATAGATGGGTACACGGCCCACTGTGGCGCCAGCGCGCCAGCTGTATGATGGACACTGCCCATATACACAACTCATCTTCTCACTGCCCCATTCACTATGCCTCGCTCCAAAGCTCACTCCGACCCCCGCGGAAGTGATGACGATGCCGCACCCGATGCCAAGCGACGTGCGGTGCCCGACAGCACCACGGGTGCTCCAGCCACGACCACCGGCTCCAAGCGGTGGACCAACGCCGAGTATGTTCAGCTTTGGGAATCAGTCAACGCGCACGGCACCCATGGGAATGCCGCATTTGAGAGCGCTGTGCCGGGTCGTACGAGAAATCAGAGTTATCAGGCTTGGCGGTGAGTCTTGGGTTGTGAGCAAGAAAAGCAACGGGTGGTGGTGAGAGTACCGCCTGGACAGTGCATTGCCCTGCCATCAGTGGCCCAGTCATGTTGGTCAATAGCTGATGGCCAGCTGTGTCGTCGAGCCATACATTCGCACCGCGCTTGAGACCAAGCCCACGACGACCCGCGGTGAGCCCAAGCCAGCCAAGACCAAGACCAAACACACCGTCAGCAAATCTCCCAAGGCCAAGCTCAAGCGTGAGCTCAAATCCGAAGCCGAGGGCGAGGGCGAGGGAGAGGGAGAGGGCGAGGTTGGCGATTAGGATCTTGATGAGGAATGAGGTCGCAATGACGTGACGAGATGGGGGCCAGGGCGTGGGAGGCGTGGCAGACCGGATCGATAACTTGTGATGTAAGATGATCTGCTTTGTCCCACTCTTCCCACCTTATACCTCCAACACCTGCCTCTGCTTCAGAGCTCAAGCCTGCCGCTTCAAAGACACCGCCATGCCCTCGTCCGACATCCATGTCAAGCTCCCCGCCTCACCGCCTCCTCAAGGCAGCATAGCGCCGCATACCACCCCCGATGCCGCAACCGAGCACCGTATCGGCGCGTGGACGGGTGAAGAGCTCAACGTGCTCTTCCAGCACGTCATTCACCATGGCAAGACCGACTGGGAGCACGCTGTTCCAGGTCGGACCGCGAACCAGTCACGCCAACAATGGTGGGCAGCCTACGAGAGGCATGAGGGTTGTTCCACTCATCAGTTGGCAGGAAGAACAGCCTTGAGCACCAGATTACCCAGTTCATCAAGGACCACAAGCATGACGCGCACCACAAGCACGGCGCCCAACAGTAGGCGTACGACCGCAAAAGTCAGTACCCAGGCAAGACGTCAGCAAGAAACATGTCAGTAGCCAAGGCTGTCACACGATGAGTCTATGCATACAATGGGGGGATGTTGGTCGGTCAAAGGTATCCGCGCATAGGCGCGATACAGCGAGGGAGAAACCGGACGTCACCTCGCAGCTCTAGCACTTATTATAGGCTGTTTGGCTTTACTTGCGCTTGGTCGCCTTCGCCGGCTTCTTGGCTTTGGGATTACGCTTGCGGCGCTCGAGACACTGGGGGCAAATCCAGTTGCCCTCCGGCGCCTTGTCGAGGTTGAGGCACGCGACGTGGTACTGTGTGATGTCAGCACATACGTCTTATGTGTGCTCTTGTCACTCACCCATTCGATCTCGCAGTCATCATCATCGCACCCGATCATCTGATTTTTGTCAGCTGTGACCATACACAATGGTTAACTGCACTCACCTCGCCGTAGCTGAACTGGCGACATGTGCAGTAGACCTTTGAATCGACTTCGTTATCGCCACCAGTAGTGTCGGCATCGGCAACGTCAAAGTCTTCAGCGGCCACCACCGCGGTCGCCTTTTTGGCGACAGCGGCGCCACCGGACCGCTTGGCAGGGCGCTCCTCCTCCTCCAGCTCTTCGTCTTCCTCGTCTTCCTCGTCCTCGCCGCGGGCACGCTTGACACCGCGTGCTCCGCGCTTCGGTGCGGCACCTGGTGGCGGAGCGGTGGTCTTGCCCGCCGAGCCCTCGCGCGAGTTGCCAATGTCAATACCGAGCGCTCCACTGGGCGCGAGAGAGTCGTTGGACGCAGTGACCTGCATGGGCTGGCCCTTGGGGCGGCGGGGTTCGTCATTGTCCGAGTCGTCGTCGGAATCCTCAGCAGCCTTTTGGGCAGCACGCGCCTTGGCGGCGGCGGCTGCAATCTGGCGTGCGGTGCGAGGTCCTGGGTCGGCCTGCTTGCCATATGTGTTTGATGCGACGGACTCGGATGGTGACACGGCACGGGCAGTCCTGTTCGGTCAGCGCCGGACTGCGTCATGAGTGTGTGGACTCACTTTTTCCTCTTCACTGGTGCCTTCTTCTTGTCATCCTTGCCACCGTTGACACTCGACGCATCATCGTCGTCCTTGTTGATCTGCGTCGCGCGGTTCTTTTTACGCTTAGTCGGGGTGCCGCGGTCGTTGAAGGGCGAGCCCGTTGCGCGACCACCGCGACGCGTGGCCGTTGGTGCTGGTGCCGCAGGCATGGTGAGGGCGACAGTGTAAGGGGAAGGGGGGTTGTTGTCGAGCAGGGTCGAGGCGGCCAAGAGGTCAGAGATGTGACGCTGGTGGGCCATGATCTACACATCCGTCAGCTGTGGGGGCCCAAGGGGAGCAGCAACACTCACTCCGTCGCATGCGCCGCCGGCGACGCGGATTTTGTCATCACCGCCGAGCTTGTAGCGAGCGGCCTCCTCGGCAATCTCCTGGAGTAGCTGAAAGCGCTTCTCGGGGCCAATGCGCGGGTTCTGCACCCAGTCGATGAGTTGATGCAGCTTGCGCTCGAGGTTGCAGAGGGTGGCTAAGGGCAGTCAGTCATCATGTGGAGGGAACGTGGTGGAGGGAAGTTGGAGGGAGAAGGTGGTCCCCGTCGGCGCCATCCACAAACACTCACAGTAGAGGACAGCACCGAGCTCGTTCAAGTCGCTGTGGACGCGTGTGAGCTCAACAGGGATCTGGTCGATAGTATCCATAAAGTCCTGGATGATCAGGATGTCCTGGGCATCATTGGGCGGGGGTGGTGGTGGGGGAGGCGTGGGGGAGATTGCCCGCACGACCGCAGCCTTGGGCGGCATTGTAGGTGATTGTAAGGGGTGATGGGTGGCAAATGGGGGTGTTGATTGATGCTAAAAGGTGGTTGCGGTTGTGGATGCCGTTGTGGGTAACGAGCAAGGTGGGTGTGATGGTGAGCTCTCGAGGAACCAAGCCGGACACAAGCAAGCCGGAGATCGCGCGCAGTCAATTTACACGTCAGCATTTTCTCTCCCACGGAATCAAATTGCCACCGTTATCATCCCCAGGCTCGCGTGTGGCACCTTGGCTTCACGCACATCCTGACCATAAACTCGATACATTTGCTCAGTGTACAACGCAGAAGCCTTGTTTCCAGCTGATATCTAACGGCAAGGACTGGATTAATCTGTAGTATCCTCTGATATTCTTAAAATGCATCTGAGCACCTGAATTCCCCCGCTGTATCACATTTCCTCACCTCGGCCTCAGGGAGGTCATTCCTCATCTCCTGGACCCTCTGCGAACCTCAAAAAGTTGGCTTGGGAGGAACTGAATCCTCTTCTGACGAGAGTGGGATTCGAACCCACGTCCGAAGACTGCGGATGAACTTCTGAAAGAGACAGAAGAAAACCTTAACACAGCGCCTTAGACCGCTCGGCCATCTCGCCGAACACGTCCACTTGTTTTGAGTGTGGGAACAAGCAGACACCCACAGCGTGCCAGCGAGAAGAAGTGCCATATCTGTTGTAGGCAAGGGACGGAGGGCGAGAGTGAAGCGATGTTCTAGGACCAGTTTTACTAGCTAATGGCAGAGTTTCCATAAACGGCGCTGAGCAGGGACGTGCCAGCAAGAAAAGAGTGTACCCTTGAGCTTCCCATGGAGCACGCATGCCACTGGCAGTGGAAGTTGCTCATTACGTGGAACAATGCCTTCTTGTGCGGGGGCACACATGGGACGCCACGGGTAAGTCACAACTGTGGTGTTACATCTACCTGCTGGTCGCTTCTTGTGTGAGTTTATAATCTGGTTCCAGGTGGCTCCTAGTCAAGTCCCGCGTGGGTGCCGACGCCTGTGGTCAGCTGAGCTGTTGGAGGCAGAGACTTCAGGTTTTTGGTGGCAAAGGGGGCGCCGTTTTGCGGCAGCAAAGTCTAGAGGGTGCCCATGGCCTGTGACCATCGTGAATGAAACGCCACGAAACCTGGTGAGGCCGACTGCTTTGACCTAAGGGTGTTGGTATCATGCCGGGACACGGTGACTGGAGGGTGCGTGTGTTCGCGGCCGGTGACTACGAGAATACCACGGTCATATTACAATGCGCAGCAGAGACCGAGTCATTCCACCCGGGATGCCAGCTACGGACACGAAGCAACATAGTTCCGTGTACGTCAATACCAATACCGAGGCAAAGACAACATATGTACAATAAAGGGCTTGGCTAACGGCAGAGCCATGCTGCCTCCTTGAGTGGGAACAAAAGGATCTCCTTCAACTTCACAGGCTCAGGTAGCTAAAGAATGACTTGCATGGCAGATGGGAGGGGAGTTCATATGTACACTTAAGATGCACCATAATGGTCTCTGCGGCATACTTGGGGATTCAATGTCACGTCTGGATGGAAGGGGGCACCTTGTAATGCGAGTAGGAAGGGTTTGTTTGTTCGACTTCTCCGCCCAGCCGATGCAGGTTCATGTAGACTTTCGAGCTCTTTCGCCGCCGCCTCGTGGCAAAACTACCAAAGCCACCTGGCAGCTAACAATATAGGGAACATGCTATTTTGTTTGTCGGTATGTTCTGACCCCCGGGCGGTGACCCCGCAGACCATCGCCCCACAGATCGCCGCCATAAGAATAATCGGGGAAAATCTTCACAAATTCAGCATCTCGCCTACTGCACTTGTACACGCAACGACCTCCGCTCCCATATCAACCCTTGTGCGACGCATATACAGTGTACAAAACACTATACTAACACCACTCCGACCATGCTGTGATCCAAACGTTCCTGTGGGCCTTGTCAGATGTCAGTTGCTCGTCTTCAGCCGACCAATATGTGCTCATTCCTGTCACTGTCCCTCTGACTTCGACATGTTGGACAACCTCTCCCCGACATACCATATTCTCCCCCTGATAGAGTGATTGGGGCACATGTGCAAATTGCAGCCACCAGCTGCGCTCATGCCGAGTTCTGTGTTTTCGTCTCGTCGCCTCGTCGGCTTCCAGTATCGTCGCCACTTCCCGTCGCTTTGCGTGGTCCCCAGTGCCACTCCATTCTTTGTGAGGCGACACAAAATTAGGGAAAACCCCAGCGGCTCTTCTGAGCACCCTGATGCACGTCGTGCGGCATGCATCGGCCAGAAAAACTCCAGTCTCCTCAAAATATTGGCCGGAAATTGTCGTCCACCAGCTTGTATAGTGTAGGTGGTTATCATTGGTCGTTGTGGTTCGCAGCAATCTCATCATCTGACCCGACCGCTGTTCGACTCAGCGTGCGAGCACGTCCCTGGAAGCGGCCTCTGTCTCTTCCTCTCTCTTTTGGTCTTTTGTTCTGCAAGGAAAGGAAGGGCTTGCATACCACAAACATTGTGAGTGGACGTAACTATTTTCAGTGTCGGTATTTTCCGTGCAATTTTTCTCCATTTTTCTTTTTTCATGTCTAGCATTCAAGGAGCATCAAGATCCCTCTCTTCTGACCCTGCCACTGAAATAGCACTGTTTGGGTCCCTGTACGTCGTAGTGCGTACTGATGTTCTATTGAGGGCGTTCAAAGCTTGCGTGGATGGACGGGGAGGACAATTCACAGACCGCAACTCCCTTCAAACAGTGCATCGAGCGGATCCCCGGTGGCGAGGGTGCATTTGAAGGGGGGACATAGATCTGATCATGGCCACCCTTGGCCCTTGGTCATGTCTCGGCACCGATGTTCGGCCACTCGAGGTGAGGATGGCTTCGGAGTAACATTGTTTCTGGGCATGTATTTCAGAATTGAAAAAAATAAAAGTGCCAACAAGGGCCTGTGCTTTGAATTGCGTGGCGCTGCAGCCTCATTGTTCGACCATGCGGTCGTTGCCCCGAGGCACGTCAGAAACAAGTATGAGATCCTTCCCAGTAGCAGAATGGAGGCAACACAAGTGGAAGGCACCCGCGGCTCAGCTCGTAGGCAGGTGGCGAGAGGGAGAGAGCAAAAGTGAGGCGCTCGAGAAGGATGTGATGCGTCAATGATAATCCGAGCTCCGACATCAATAGACCGAGTGGACGGACGACTGTGCGCACACTATTCTGACACCGTGTGCCATTGCTGCGGGACGCACTGCAAAAGGCTGGTGAAACGGGCCTGCGCCTCACCCAAAAGGTGATACAGATGAGATGCAAACGGGTCATTGGACAATACAAGACGGATACGTTCAGGACGACACAGGAACACCGTGTGTTGGATTTTCTCTGGGACAAGGACCTCGCGAGAAGCACAATCGATCTGTTCTGGTGCGACTGTTTGGCGCAAGATCTTTCAGGTCCAGGGTACAGTACTGCCCACCGTGCGGCCCCGACGTGAGTCAACGGCAAGCGTCTATCCTGTGTGTGCCATTGAAACTGCGACAATGACCCATCGGGTGCGAGAAAAGACCGAGTGTGTGGACGCTTCACCGCCACACATGAGGCAGCGTACAGTGATGTAGACGTAGGCCAAGCCACTCCTAATGAAGTGCATGCATGTGTGGTGTTGCTGGCGTTCAAATCAGCGCCGTATCTCGGCTCGCATTCTCACATGGACGCCGCTGACACTAAAACCTAACTGCCCCCTCAACCAGGTTCCACACGCCCCCTCCGCGCAGGTCACAAACAGAAAACAACACGGCCCGCACACATCGGATGTGACAAGCGAAACGAGCATGACAATGGGTGGTGACACGCCGCCCCCCGTCGCGAAGCATACCAAGACCGAGCCATGTGAGACAGGACACAGAAGGCGGTGTGTCTTGCCGAAGGTCTTTGTGGGGCGGTCGAGGCACCCACAGGGTGACGGGTCCGAGGAGGCCGAGGGAGGCGAGGCTGGCTGGCGTGAGTGGAGGAGGGGTTAGACGGAGGCGGGCGGCGGTGTGAGCATGGTCTCTGCATACTTTGGGCTGTCTCGGATGCAACATTAGGACATGAATGTTCGCTGTACCTTGGCGCATCATCCCTCAAGTTCCAGTTGGCAGTCCCACTGGCGTCGTTTGCGCTCCTGCACCTCGTTTCGCTTCCAGATGGCGTCGCGCCAGGCTTACGCCACGGTCGTGTGCGGTGGTAGGGTGGCAAAGGCGTGCCGGAATGAGCGCCGCGATCCCATGAAGAATGAGTGTATCACATCACATAATCACAACATTGTCGCAACGTGTAAGCGGGCACCCAAGTGTCCGACCTTGCTGTCTCCTCGCCGTTTGCATATATGCAAGCGACTTCTCAAGAGCGTGATCGCGTGAACGGCAGTAGACGGACCGGGCGCCACCGCTAACGGCCGCCGGAGCTGGCGTTTGGCGTTGGATCCGTGCACAACTCTGGCGCACGGGCACTGTCTGGCATGTCTGGGCCATCAGCTCAGCGTAAGGATTGGGGTGACGCACATGGCCCAGCGCGCCACGGAAGGTCTATTGCGGCCTGACAACAGACGGCAGAGGACGATTATCGGGCCAGCGGCCAGCGGGGCGTGGCAACATACCACGCGGTGGCTTGCTTGCGGTCGTGTCCAACGCCCCCGCTTGGGTGACCCTTTTATGGGTGCCGCCGCACAGTGCAAACCGCAGTACCCAAAATCACCGGGTGTGTCCTGGGATCCTGGCCTCCTTGGCGTCCACGAGGGTGCACCCCATCTGCACAACTCCACCCAACATGACGGTGCGAGAGCCTGAAGTCGTAACAACCGAGAGGGCCAAGGCGTGGATGAAGCCCAGCCGCCTCACGCCGCCACGCCGAGCGCCTGGTGCTTTACCCACACTTGGATAGAGTATGGCGCAGTTCCCAGTTTGCACTGTTCGCTGCGCACACGCATCATGCGTGCGGCACATCACAAGCCCGTGCCAGGCGCGGCCATCGGGACCTGGGTTTGAACCTGGGCGATCGGAGTTTGCGCCAAGGGGACGAGGGCAGGCAACGGCGTAGGCAAGGTCTTGCAGGATGACTGTAGCATGTGGCATGTTATGTGCAGTGGGGTTAACGAGGTGATTTCCCTTGTTTGGGTACGCCAAGCATCGCTTACCGGTGGCCGGTGGTGTCCTTGGCTTTTGCGTAGTTTATGGGTATAGCTTCTCGAGATGTATCCGAGCAAGTGTGGTTCTACCATGGCCCATACCGTACGCCTCTGCTCGGTAAGATGGAGAGCCGCACAAAGACCCCGGTGTTCCCAGGAATGGGCTGCCAAATGAAACGAAAACGATGGCGCTCCAAAGAGCCATTGACAGGCCGCCGCTAGCCTCAGCCTCGGCCTAGTCATCGGCCCTCAGGCCAAAGCCTCACAGCCAGACAAGAGGCTAGACAAGGTCAGAGGTCAAGACCCCCAACTCCCGAGTCCGAGTGCACGTCAAGTCCGAGTCCGAGTCCGACACCCGAAAGCTTGATTGCAGACCAAGGTCCAACGAAAACCATGGCCAAAAAGCCACTAGGTGGAGTGAGTGTGTGGCAGTTGTTACGGTACCTGTGGCCGGCAATTTGACGCCACCTTGGATGTTAATGCCTAGTCGCCGCCTCACAAGGCGAGACCAGGCCGGCCTGGGCTGACCTGAGTGAGTTGGTTCTTATGAGGTCAGTGCGATCAGCGCCAAGGCATGGCGAACATGTCAAAGTCGGGGACGAGTCTCAGAGACAAAATGTGCCGCCGTTTGCCACCATTGCCACCATTTCAGTGGCCCAGCCATTTGACCAAGCTACTTGGTTTGCCACCTGCATCCCCTGCTTGTTTATGTCCCATTCATGAGTCACCTGGTCGACCGGGTGCTGCTTGCGTGCGTTTGGGAACTGGAATTGTTACACGTTGTCACGGCGACGTGTGGCGAATGAATTATTGACCTCTTGGCGGCCGATCCGGCGATCAGGCCTCTCGTTTCCAGCTGGGACGAGGACCGAGCCAAAAGAGAGAGACAGACGACGAAACGTGCGCCCGCCGTCGGTGTCTTTGGCGGTGTCGACCTGGGTGTCGACCTGGGTCTCAGCAGCAGTGACGACGGCACTCGTCGTAGGACACGGGTAAGGGGTAACGCCTGGAACGACTGAAACGAATACAGGCCATCCTGGGTATATCAATTGCTCCGCGTGCGGGCGGCCTTGCCAGCGACTATTCGCGTGCCCGATGGTGTGTATCGGCGACGGACCTCGTGCCCGTCGGTGGCTGATGGAACAACCCCAGAGGGAGCGTGCGACAACCGTGGCCGTTGCATGGGATTCAAGGCGCCGAATGATCAGAGTGACCGCGTGTGAGTGTCAATGAAGCGTGTTTTGCCGGCAGTGCGGCGTTTGATGGAGTGAGAAGAAGCTGGGGTTGGTGACCTCGAGATCCATGCTTCGGGCAGGTGTTCGGGAGTGGCAAAGGGGGGTACGCAGTGTGTATCCACAATGCGACCTCTGTAGATGGTGTGACGCACGTCTTATTTCCTCTGGGGTATCATCATCGGTCAGGTCCACCCCTCGCTCTGCCAGCGTCGTGTCCCACTTTCAGATGAGTCATTGCTGTACTGCTGTCCATCTGGCGAGAGATAGCGTGAGTGCTTTTTCGGCCAGCACCGTAAATGGTAACCGTCTTGCACGAGACTGCGCACCAGGAAGCCTCCGGATGTGTACGAGAGACTGGTCAGCGTCGGTTTGGGACGAAACATGCGGGTAGTAACGTTAACGGGTTCTGTGCGATGTGCGTGCGCCGCCACATTGCGAGTTGCTCGGCAACAACCGTCGGCTGCGAGCTACCATCCTCTAGACGACAACAAATGGTTTCCGTCGATCGCGGCATGGGACCAAGCCAAGACTTTGGAGACCATTCAGTCAAGACACATCAGTGCGAGCCAAGCGCGGTAAATTGTGGAGCACGTAAACCTCCTTCTGTTGCTTCTCAGCACATGCAATGAGCAATTGAGCCAGCCGTAACCATGTCTACGTGCAAGGGTCTGTGGCATCTGACCGATCTGCATGTCCTAGGTTGTTCACGTCACACTCGCGGGTTTACGCTTACAGCCGAACGTGCCGTGCTCGCCGGGGGGGTGCAGGAGAAGCGGGACAGGTTCTTGACGGAAGCGAAGAGAGACGACGAAAAGAGGGAAGGGGTACAACTTACTTTTCGTTCCTAGGCAAGAGACTGGTGGGTGTGTCATGTCTCGTCACCTGACACGAAACATGCTCGACAGCTTACGGTAACGAGTGATTCCAGTGGGGCACAGCCTTCGGCCCAGGCCTCCCCGCACCCAGAAAGGAAAGGGGGATGCACAAGGCTTGCGCGGCCTCTTGATCATCAGCGCACTCTGTGATCCGTCCTCCGTGATCCGTGACATTTTGTTCAACGAGTGGCGCACATCGTTAGCGTCGCTGGACATTCAGCGGCCGATCCAATGTGTGACAATTGGCGTCCTTCGGCTGTGATGACAAACAGGTCCGCCCGAAGCCACGACGGCAAGCAAGCTCACAGCAACCAGGCCACAAATGTGGAACTCGTCTGCCCGACCTCGCGCCATCCACAGCTTTGGAACCCGACTTTTTGCCACCCTGGCAGATCTGTCACCAAGCGACTGGACATGCGCCACCAAACGCAAACGCAGCCGTGTGTAACGACGTTGCTGTGGGACTAGTGTGCCACTTATGTGTCTTGCCCAGCACAAGGTACAGAGTACACTGCCCTCGCTCCATCCCTCATGCTACGCATCGGTGCGCGCAAACCCCTGCACAAGTATAGCCTTTGACCCAACAACAGCAGCGCCAAGGCCCTTAGTCGCTTCGAGCACTGCTGACGCCAACATGATTGAGGGGTCGAGTCGGGTCCCTTTAGCACCGAGACCCAACATTCTGCGCCACTGGCGTCCGCGCCGCCGCGCCGTGCCATACCGCCGTCATACCCCAGGATGGCACAGGAACGCTAACGCAACTCAAACTACCCCATTCAAGATCCTCCCCATGGCCCATTCAAACACGCACCCTCTCCGCATGCCCCCCCATACCCTGCCCTCCAGGTGTCTCGGACACGACGTCAGAACGCACGCGCAGGCGTTTTTTTTTGGTCGTTGGCGTTTGGGGCAATCGGGTCACTTGCATCAGCCTGTGGCGCTGTACGGGATGAGCCTTACCCGCGGACGTGGCCCGGAGGCTTCGCCCCCCCATGCGCATGTGTCTCTCTCTCGCTTCATGACACGGTGGACACCTCTGATCCTCTGAGCGGCGTGTGCCGGCGGACAAACATATCAATGTTGGGGCATTCGTAAGGCATCAAGGGAACGTGGCCGTTGGTCTACCTCGCATGCCTCGTCATTGCTGCGAGGACGCGAGCCCTCTCCCCCCGGATTAAATGCACAGAGAGACATGGCCCAAACCCTGCCCCGCGCCCCGCCCCCCAACAGCATGCGAGCATTCTTTTTTGATGATATTTTTTGGGCCAGCGCCTGCAAGCGTACAAGCGTCCTTGTTATCCTGCAAAAGAGGCGTTTGCGAGCATGCGGTCGCGCGGGGTATGAGGGACGCAAATGAGGAGTGAAGCAACTGTCATAGAACCAAAAGCAAGGGCCAGGTACGCGGCCCCAGGATCCACCACCCCGTTCCCCGCGCAGCACACGCGCACAGTCCCCATCATATGCCGGCACAACCCCCCGCGCAGCACAATCCACCACACCGGTTGCGAGACACCGATCGGGCCTCGGCAACTCTGGGTGTCTCTCTCGTGTCGCTCATCTTTTGCCTGAATGGGCGGCGCGGCCCCTTTAACCTTTCCTTTGCCGCGCTCTAAACAATTTTTGCAGAGCTAATATTGAAACAAAGGAGAACGCGAACATCGCGATCGCCACCCGTTAGTCAAAATGCTAACTGATCTAATCAAATTCCCCATTTGATGGGGTGGGTGATTCCAGATCTTTCATGTGCATGTTCCAGGTCTCGGCACCTCCCCGCTCCAGCACATCACAGCACCGCAACGCTGAGGCGAGGGGCTAGCGATTTTAGGATCTCATCGGTCCCCAGAGGAACTGTGCGCACGCGTGTTCTGTCGCACTTGTGCTTGGCTCCTCTCCCTCAACGGGGTTGCCGTACTGATTACGCACAGCCAGTTCATTTGCGGAGCAACTTTTTTTTTTGTCTTTCTGCGTCTTCTTTTCTATTTTGCACCCACATCCGCCACCTACGTACCCTCCCTGTGGCGAACCTGTTACCCCCGTAACTTGGGCTCCAACATTCAATGGCCCTCTGGCCTCTTGGCTCCTGTGCTAAGGACTGTGCCACTGGAACGGTACCAGAAGAATTGCGTCTGTTGGCATGTTGTGCGTTGTCTTGGTGGTGTGGGGCGGGGCACACGCCTCGAGCGTTCACGGAACCCTACAGTTGGAGCGGTGCCAGGGCGGGGTGGACGCCATGGCGACCTGGCCGGTCAGAGTGCCGAGCGTCATGGAGGGAGCGGTCTCTTGGGGCAGGAGGCGGTGGCGTGGCGGTGGCGGTGGGCCTGCGGGTCTGTGAGTCTTGCGGTCTGCGGTCTGCAGTCTGCGTGTGTGTGCGGCGAGACGAAACGACGGCCACCGATGACTACTACTGACCGGTACCGTGCGTCGGGAGGGACAGAAGCACAACGAGCGAGATATGGCAACAAGAGGCGCCAGTGCGGGGCGAAGGGGGAGATTGGAGGCGCCGGGCGTGAGACGTGAGACGCAGGGCCTGGACGGAGCTTCCTTGTGCGACGACATTGTCTGCGCAATGGAAGTGGCACAGTGATGCATACGGTATGCGGGACCCACTCGCCTGGCCCACTGGGCGGCGGGGAGATGAGGCGGTGGCGAAGGAAAAAGGTTGCCGCCACCCTTACCCGCGTACACATGCTACACACTCGGCGGTCCGAGTTGCACGACAGAACAGGTGGTGTGGCAAGGATGCGAATGCACCATTGACAAGAGCCTTGTTTCGCATTGTTACCGGTCGAGACGTTTGGCGGCGTTGCGACCGAAGAGGCGGCGCGGAGGGGCGTTTG